TGCTGTGTTCACCTTCACTTGTTAGGTCTGTATGGTAACTACTTAATTAAAACTGGCTATTTGTGAAGACTTTACATCTTAATACAAGCAGATGTTACATTAGAACTGCCCTGGAATTGACAGTACCAGTATATCTCCTCTTGACAAGCAGTAGCCAAGTCCACATGTTAAACCCTCAACTCATTTCCTTCCAGAATTAGAAGGCTCCATAATTTTTCTATCACTTCATAACAGGGTTTATGTTCTAACTGAATAAACACATCTTAACTACTTCTTATTTTATTTTTACATTTTCTATTTAATAGCTGAAAACATCACTACAATTAAAAAAAAAAACTTTTTTTCTACATTATATTTGTAGTCTGACATGTTTTGTTTGACATTCTAACTCAGATTTCAAGATGCATCTATGTTATCCGCTCTGTCAGGTAGTGTTTATGCTTGAAACGCTGCTCTCAAACAGTATTTCTGAAGACAACAATAATAGATAGGCAAAAGGGGCATGTGAGGTAAGCACAAATAGTTCTTGCTAAAGGAATAGATGAGAAAATGCACTATAAGAACGATTTGACAGATGACAGCTGTTTACTTTAGAGCAACTGTAGCTCTGAGAAATTTTTATTAGCCAGGTATCACTGCAGATTTGCTTCTACCCACCTTCCTTTACATGGCATTAAATGATTCTAGATGTCACCCATCAAATACTGATTTTAAACACCATTCTTGCAAAATTTGTCCCTGGATCTTGTAACCAATTACAGTCATTGTTCTGAAAAGAAATGGTGAGGGTATTGGGTTCATCTCTGAAAAATATCTTGCACTCCTCAGTTAAGAGTTTCTGAAGCACAGAAGTTACACAGCCTGAGCTATCATTCTGAAAACGTTTATCAGCACATAATGGCATAATGAAATAAGATTTTCTGACCACGAACTGACCTGCCTTAGACAGTGGTTGCTCGTAAAATCCCAACATAGGACAGTTCCCAAAAAGAATCTGCCCTATACTCAGGTGGGGAAAAAAAACCCACAACTGAAAAGCCTTGACTACTACTGGAAAGATCTAGGGTTTTGGAAAAACAACTAAGAAATATCTTTGAAAACAACAACAGGTTAAGATCTCTACAACCACCTAACTTCTCATGACAAGATATTCTGATTCTTTGATCTCTTGAAGAAATGGTGACCAAACTGTAATCTTCAGAGTACAACAGTTGAGAAGTGGGTTCAAAGAGACTATGTGTAAAATGCAAATAAGGCAAGACCCTTATCTAGAATGGATGGAGGAAAACAAAAAAGCACTGCCCTTTCCCCCGCCTGACCCTACTCCTTTTTTTCCTTTCTTTTTAAATGAAATACTGGGGAAAACAGAATGGCTGAATGTGAAAACAAGTATCGAATGGCAATAACAAATTTCAACTAAATAAAGCAAACTTAAGAAGGAGGTTCTCTGGGAAGGCTTTGAGATCCAATGGTTTAGAAAAATAGAACAGTGGGATTTTCTAGGTGCTAAAATGCACACTTGCAAAGTTTAGTGAATCACCTAAGAACAGTTACATCTCTAAGTTGTTTTTCAGTTTCTGAAAATCAAATATGATTGTCTAATGAGGATTATGTCACGAAGAGGTGCCTTCTTGCTTATTTAAAAGGTTTATTGCATCTGAAAAGGTTTATTATACCTGAAATCATCTGAATAAAATCTTTTTGGTGGTGTTTTTTTCATCAATGAAGATATTCTGCAAATGAACACATTTGGGGGCTTGTTGTATTTTGGGTATTAAAAGGGGAAAGATCCTCATTTTATAACCACACACGTCTAGAAAGACTAACCTAAACTATTTCCAATGAGCTGTAATTAATGAACATCTTAGTGGTTAAAAAAAAAATAAAATAAAAAAATAACCCTATCTTGTTAATACAGTGAAGATACATGAAAACATGTACTTCATAGCTTAAAATATTACAGAAATAAAGAGGATACAAGATAAACTTGACTTCACAAGAAAGCTGAAATGTCACTTGCATTTCACCAGTCCCAAGAACAATTTGTCTTCAAATTGTTCACTTTCTATGGCTGTATATATTAAAAAAAAAACCCAAAAACACACACAAAACCAAAACATGCAAAACACCTATCTCTCCTGGAAAGCATGACTCTGTAAATTATAAGCCAATGAGAACTCCTGTCAGGCACTGTCTGTAATCGCTGAAGAGACTATTATTAGTCATAGTTCTGAACTAAAGCACATGGAAACCAAAATTATTGATCGGAGAAGTGCTCTGACAGATCTCACCTTCAATTGTGAAGAACTGAACAGAGATTATATCACTTCTTAAATGTGACAACTCAGTACTACTGAGACAGAACATTATCTTCAATTATTGGCTGTTGAAGAATCCTGGCACAGAAATTATCTGATGGGTGCTTAAATCTACTTAGCTTCTGGTTCTCTCAGTGAGTTTGGGAAAAAGGGCGGCTAAAGAATATAAATCTGCGTCAACCCACACATGTATAAAAGGAGACACACTTTCAATCCTTTTCTTTACAATCCAGCAAGCTTGCATCTCCAATCCTTTCCAACTCAACTCCAAATCTTGGGCTCACAATCCTATACAGGCTGAGAGAGTTGGGGTTGTTCAGCCTGGAGAAGAGAAGGCTCCGGGGTGATCTTATAGCAGCCTTCCAGTACCTAAAGGGGGCCTACAGGAAAGCTGGAGAGGGACTTTTTACAAGGGCGTGTAGTGATAGGACAAGGAGCAATGGCTTTAAACTGAAAGAGGGAGATTTAGATTAGATCTAAGGAAGAAATTTTTCACTCAGAGGGTGGTGAGGCACTGGAACAGGTTGCCCAGAAAAGCTGTGGATGCCTCATCCCTGGAAGCGTTCAAGGTCAGGTTGGATGAGGCTTTGGGCAACCTGGTGTAGTGGAGGATTTCCCTGCCCATGGCAGGGGGGCTGGAACTAGATGATCTTTGAGGTCCCTTCCAACCCGAACCATTCTACGATTCTATGATTCTCTACACACAAAAATCCACAACCACGTTCATATGCTGAAGCGTGCCAGTGACGAGTCACAGTGGTTGATTCTGAGCAGCTTTTCATTCACATCACCACTCGCTGATCTCAGGCAATCAGCTAAGAAACGCAGCTGCCTGTCTGTTAGTGTAAGAGCACGACAATGGGCCTCATACCACTTGGAAGAGATTCACATATGGTCTCAGCGGTACACACAGCATGATTTTTGGAAATTGCTAGTCTATAGTTACAAAGCAGAGTGCTGAAAATACACATGGTTGTTAACTGCAGGCACTGTTATCCTACAAATCAGGTCACGTTCTATTCTCAAATATCAAAAATAAGATGGAGGTCTAAGTTTGTGAATATCGATTAAGTCTCTTCCATTAGTTTATTAGTTGCTTCACCTAATAGAAAAAATTCCAGCAGATTTTTGTGAGACTGATCTCTAAATAACATCACAGAAAAAGGACAGAAAGTGAAAACCTGAAGAAAAAAGTTCATCCCAAAGACAGTGATTTGAAATGGCATATATGAAAAAAAGATTCATAAGCATCTTTAAGGAAAACCGTGGAGAATACTTCTGTCATCACGGGACAGCAAATTACTTCATAGAAATGTGATCTTCAGGTGGCTCTGGGTTTTCCTTCTTCTGTAACTACTGTCTTTAGTCATTTACTTGCAGCGAAAATTGAACTTAAAAGAGCTCTGACTTGATGTAATATGTAGGTTTTAAAAGGTTCCAGTCTCCAAGTTCTTATTATTTGGTATCATCTTTGGCCTTGAGGACAAGGCCACCAAAGCATTCCTCATGACAGCTGCTCTATGATAGTGAGCCATTTAGAAGATTAATTTCTACATTTAAACATTACATCCTTCAATTTCTACCAGTGTTGTAGCAAAATCTCATTCACAAAGTGAGATTATTTCTAGTATGTTATGGAACAATACACAGAACGTGAGGTAATCTGGTCTACATAAGGAAATGAAATTGAAATAAATGAAAGGGTTGGATTTCTTTTTTAATAGATTCAGCTTCTGGGGCTTATTTTCAGACAGCTTAAACACAAGCAATGACTAGTGCCTACATATTTACGAAAATGTTCCTAGTGTATCAGAAAAGCATGAATCTCTCCCATAGTACATCGATCCTCTCTGTTACCTCTTCCCATAGTACAAAGCTAATTCCCAAGAATGATTAACTAGTCCTAAAATTCATTTTTAGAAGACATTGCCAACGTACTTATAATGACATTTCGTTTTACCACTAGGGTTTCAGTTTCCCCTGGTACAAGCAATTCAAGGAGCCCACTCTTGAAAAGCCTTAAGCTATGGAGAACCAACAAAAGTACAAATGACACACACAAAAAAAGACAAAACAAAAGTTCTGGTAGTCTTTTGCATGGGAATCAACGCTCATTTGTACGTCACTAAAACAAGCAACATAAAAAAAACCTCAAAACTTACCATTAAGCTGCATATTTGTCATGAGAGTTAGGCTATGAAGCACAAGGCACCATGTCCGGAGTAAGGTATTAGGATACCATGCCAGAACTGACAGGAAGCTAGTTACTGAAGCTGTCAAGAAAAACATGTTTTTCCAAGCTTTAATCTTCAGAGTATACTATAAATTTCTTATTTTTACTGTAAGGTGCTATATTTATTATTAACATTATTTACTCTGTTTTGACAACTATTGTTCCAGGAAATTAGGAAACAAAGGCTCACCAACACTTCACAGAAACTGGCTCACAGAACTTTCTACAGTGCCCAGACCCTGACATCTCAGGGAAAATGATGCAAAGAAACTGGTTTCAAAATGCTCTCATGGAAGCCAGCATAATAGGTTCATTATAGTAGGCACTAACGTTTTGGACTTTCACCACAAGATACCACAGATTTTCTAAACTATATAGTATAAATTTTATAGAAAAAAAAAAAAATTTAACATGTCTTTGTACTAGATTAGTAGTCTGATGTCAAAAAAGTAACAGAGCTTCCCTCCTCCACCGACCCCTTTGAAAATAGATCATAGATGCTATACAAGCATAAAAAATTTGTCAGTGAAGTGTATACAGGTACATAGTTCACCTTAGATTGAAAAGTATATTTTAAAGGGTCCTCTTGGGAGTAACGACGAGTTAAGAGCCACAAATTTTACAATTTAATTCCTGAGGAGATTATGCAAATTCAAAGAACCATCTCTCAGTTACATATTAGCTCAACAGTTTTCATATGAAGATAATGAGCCCAAGAGCTCTTTAGTAAGGTCACCGAAGTTACCCCAACACTGATCACAAATACGTATTGTTATACTTTTTTTTGCTTATCAGCAAAAATTGAGTACTTAAAAAAAACCCTTAACCTATACTTCCTGAAAATTAATTTCCCATAGTTAATGTATTTTACCTTGGTTCAAGGAAATGACAGGTATTCTGTTAGCGTTATAGAGGAAAATATCAGCGCCACTATCTTTACTTCCAGAGGAGATGGAATTCAAACTTAATGTGAGCCATAACTGTAAAAGGGATTCAAGCTGAAAGAGAGGGAAAAAAACACTATCAGACCAAACTCAAGTGTTTTTTACAGAACTCCAGAACATAAAAGGTATTCTGTTTTGATTTTAAAAGCCTTATCTACACTCTCACCAGCTACTGTTTCACTGATAACACACACTCTCCTTTACTGAATCTGAAGATTCTGATAAAAATAAGGCAAATTCAGCATAGCAGCAGCATTTGCTAGTTATGTTTTTGTAAGTGATTTCTTCTAAATACAGTTAAGTTTCTCTCAAGAAGTTTCTTCAACTTATTTTTAAAATATTAGCTTTACACACTGCTCAGAAAAGTCTGTACCACAACGTTACACCTGTAAGACTGGTTTGCATGTAAGCTTTTGGAATGTCTTAATATAGTCGGAGTGATGTTTACCAGTCAACAGAAATTATTCAAAATGCCAACTTAATTATTGGGAAAGCTCCTTTACTTTCAAGGAGACACTGATGCTCACTCTGAATAACTCCCTTGAGGAAAATAACTATTTAGATATTCTGGGGAAGCATCAAGGTCCTTTATAGCACAAACTGTATTTTGGATGAGATATTTAAAGAATGATTGAGGGATGGAGTCAGCCACCCTATTAAAATATAAACAGACAGGCAGGCACCTAATCACTCGTATATAGCACACATGGCATTCCTTTGTAGGTACCAAGAAAAGCATTGCTAAACCAATGACTTTTCAAAAAGCATACTTAATTTTAAAATTTAGGATCATGGATAATTCAGGTTGGAAGGGACCTCTAGAGGTTCTTTAATTCAATCTTCTGCTCAAAGAAGGGCCAAAGAAGATGTCAGACTGGGTTGCTCAGGGGTTTATGCAGCTGGGTTTTAAAAACCTCCACAGATGGAGGCTGCATATTTAGTGACAGTCTTCAATAACAAGCTAAAAATTACGTGTCGGGTGAACCTACGAACTTGTTTTTAAATATGAAAATGTATACCCACTTTTTCACTGTAACAAGAAACATCCTATTTGTTAAGAGCTTTCAGCAGCCTGTCTAGTACATTATTAGTACTGCTGTACATGACAGCTTCGTAGCAGTAAGGCATGTAACATAACAGGTTACTTGTATCCTAAGTAGTAAGAAGTATAGGAAAGCAGCTTTCAAATTTAGAGAGAAATACTATCAGAACACTTCAAAGTTCATAATTCTATACCTGAACATGGTGGACTTGTAGCATGGAAAAAAGTTTGTTGAAGCATGCGCTCAGCATAGGTATAGATGATAACTGTACGATCAGCTGGGCATTTTGGTTAGCAGCATGTAATCCTCTTAGCAATGAATCGTCTGTTCCGCTAGGAGACTGGGTTACTGAAAAACAATACAAAAAGTACCACCCTCCCATGAATTATTTTGTAAAAGTTGCTAAAAGTAATTTCGCATTTATTTCCTTGCATTTTATACTTAAGAGAAAGAAACTTATTTTTTGATTTACAAGAACATCTTCAATGTAGTGTTCAGCTGGGTTGAACTACTGACTACCATACTGCGAAAGACACACTTCAATATCAGACATCTCCATCTTCACAAAAACGGTTTGGAAAGTGAGCCCACACAAATACATTTTCACAGTTCTTGCTAAATACGTATTACAGGAGTGTCCTGACAACGCAATGGTAAGGTAAACAATTGGAACATCTCTTTCGTGCATAATGATAAAGCTATTGCAGTCAGTAATAAACTTCTAGAAAATAAAGGCTGAGGATGTCATTAAACATATTCCATCATCAGACATTCAACTAATGACTGCACATATATTAAGGTATCCAGAGAGCAACAAAGCAGCACATCTTAACAAGACGGGCAGAGCAACTCACTGAAAATATGTTCAAAAGTAAATCAGCATCACGAGTGTTTTTGTAACATAAAGCTTAGGGAACAGCTGAGTTCAAAATTGTATTCAAATATATTCACTTTCATCACCGAACAGGTGAAACTGTTGAGTGCAAAGCAGCTTTCAAACTGCTGAAATTTCACAATGAATGCAAGAATGTAGCTTCACAAGAACAGGTAACTTAATGTTCACTTGCACCTAGATCAGAAAGTGAAAACAATTCCTCCATTGCAGTATAATGCACTGTAAAAGAAAACCTGCATATTTGACCAGTTTCACAAAATGTCTTATATATACACACACATAATTCAAAAATCTGAATAAAGAAATACCTCTAAAGCTTTGCCTAACAAGAAAATTCAAGCAAAATATAACTTCCTCTAAGCTGCTAAGTGACTGCAGAAAAAATTAGTACAAATTTCAAAGCATCATGGTCATTATGTGAAGAGAATGATTTGACGATATGTAGTTACATGTAGGAGATGTGTTTGTTAATGCTTGTAGAATGGAATCAGCCTCCAGGGTGGACATCATTTTCAGCATCAGCTCAGCCTGCTGTTCAAGTCCAACTTCTAGACGTGCATCTAAAGCTACACAAGGCAACAAACAGGGTTAAACTGAATTATATCAAAGACATATATAATTAGTTACTCTAACTTCCTGTGCAAGCAATATAGATACACAGTACACATTAAACTGAAAAAAAACCTCAGTATCAGTAACAGGAAGATTCACTTTTATATACGACAGAAGCAGAATGTAGAAACTTATATTCTCAATCAAACATAATATTCTTACAGACATGAAATTTATAATTAATAAAATACTAAATTTCTGTGAAACACACATTTATTTTCATGGTCACTTTAATACCACACATGACTACATCTGCATACGTTTAGGCCTATTTTTCTGAACAAAAAACTTGAACCAAAAAGCTGGTTTTCCCCCAGTCTGGCAGGGGAAAGATCTATCACCCCAGTTCAGCTGTACTCCTCCACACTAAGCAAGTGTGCCACCTCATTCCTTTGGGTAGAGTCAACTATCCAGAGTATCAACCAACTAGAAAAGAGTTTCCAAAACTTCCTGAGAAATCAGGAATGATTTAAAACTGCCTGTAAGTATGTGTTCAAAAATGTTAGAAAATAAGATTTTCTGCTACGTTAGGCTGTTCTAAATATAAACTTCACATAACATTGTCTCAGTTACCACAGAAAAACTGTGGCACATAGAGAATTTAATTCTTTCCACTTAATGCACGTAGAGACTGTTAACACAATTTGATATGCGAAAGTGTCGAATACACTACCACAAGAACGAGACCCTGAACAGAACTTTAGTCCATTGCTCACCTTGAGAGACTGATACGCTCACAGTCTGTGATCCATTTTTCTCTGTAGTTACCGGTGGTTTTGCAACTGGAATTCCAACACCCCCAATGTAAGGATTGTAATTGTAGGTGCCATAATCGGCACCCCAGTAATCATACCAGGTGCTGCTGATAGGCTTAAAAAACAAACAAAACAACAAGAAAAAAAATAAACAGCAACTCTTTAGACTGCTCAATTACAAAAATAAAATTTGTAATGACTAACAACAAAAATTAAAACCAGAAGAATGGATCCAATAGCTTTAGAAAATTTTGTATCCATTTTTACTGCAGTATAAGCTACTCAATCCTTAGTGATTGTCAAAGTCCAGCAATGTAGTTAGCGGTGTCAAAGATTCAAGCCAATTTGAAAATCAGGGTTTTTTTTCCACACATTTGTACCACTTTTTAAATTTGGAAGCAGAATACTACACAGATATTTTGAGAAGTTATTTATCAAGGCAGAATACTGTATTATTAACTGTACTATTAAAGTACCTTGAAGCCTCAGTGAGGCTCAGGAATTATTTGTACTGGGCTCTGCAAAAGAAAGAGTTGAATAATCTCTACTCAAGTGCCATAATTTAAGACACTTAAAAAGCATGTGGGTCACAAAAAAAATGTTAATGTAAGACTGCATGAAGGCGATTTGTGTTTGCCTGTCTTTTTAAGGGCAAGATCCAATATCAATTATCATTTTACAGATACAGAAACAAATCTTAAGAGGGATTAAGAACAAATATGTGTTTTTCTGGCTGTTTTTTAGAGGGCATGCAATCAGGAATTTGGATCACGAAGTGGATGAAGTGGACTAAGGAGTATTGTCAAATGAAATGATAGTAGAATAAAGGAGGGAAGCATCAGTCAACATAGAAATTAAACAGTAAGTGGAATATTTTGGTAGGGTGACATGTAAAGGAAAAATCTTTACATGATAGGTAGTTGGTGGAAGGACACATGAAGGAATATAGGAAAAAAAAAAGAAAATGTAGTGTTGTCTGAGCAAGTGGTAAGAAAGATAATTTAGGTTAATTCAAGTGAGGCTGAACGTGTAAGTCAATAGCGAGAGAAGTGGGAAAACTCCAAATGAAAGTGTCATCCTTCTGCACAAAAAGACCCAAATTTTATCATGAATGGCTGTGTTTACAATCAAAATATTTTTGGTTTTTTAGTATACCTTGACAATATACTATTACATATAAATGTAATTTTACTACCTCTGATATGTTTAGCTTCAGTTTTAAGTACGAAAGCATTTAATAATTTTCTTGTTTCACAAGGAAATAAGTACTGAAGTTAGTCGTTTCTCTTCATAGTCTGAAGCTGGTCTGAGAACTAGCTACTGCTTTTTTTTTTTAAACTCAATATTAACAGTATTAACTCTTAAGATGAATCACAGAAGCAAATGGCACTCTATTCTTAATAAAAAAGGACAACACTAGATCTTATTTTTCTTTTATATTATGCTTTTGTTGTCTTTAACATGTGTTATAAACATCTTGTTTATACAGTTATCTTCATACAAAAGCAAAATATTTTGTGGTCAACTGAGATATGAATACATCTGAGACATGAATCCCATCTTTACATTCCTTCCTGTCATTCTATATTAAACCTTCATAAAAAGCTAAAAGCAGGTCTAAGACATCAAATTCCACTAATGAAGAAGTCTAAGAGAGAAAGGATTTTACTGTTTCATACGTAAAGGTCATCCTGAAAACTGAGGTGTCATGTACCTTGAAGACTTTGGCTGCAAGGGGATCTTTTTCCAAATCAATATCCAAAGGATCAATATCGACTTCCATCAGGTCTTGCAGTAATTCGAGATCAATGTCCTTATCTTTTTCCAAAGATGACAGAGGAGGAGCACCTTTGAATGATTAAAAGAGTATTAATACTATCAAGTACAAATTAGAAAACATCGATATATCATACACTTAGGGCTTTTAATATTGCGGCTTTTATAATGGAAAAAGTTAACAAATGCAATGAAGTTGCCTTTTTTAAATAATTGGAAAAATAACCATTTTTTACTGATCAGATGTAAAACTAAGTTGAAGAATTGCTCATAATCTGCCTACATTTTCAGAATCTAGTTACTCTGTAACCAAAAAACTTTTACTGATATTTTGATAGATGAGTAACAGCAAAGATTTTTTTACTTTTTCAATACGCATATATACATTATGATTAAGATATATATATACATTAAGATTATGAAATAATTTACCTGTGATGTCATGTGTCAAAGGCTCATCTATTGTTTCCACTAACTGAACTGTGGACTGCTGGAGAGAGTCATCAGAATCCCCAGCCGAAGCTCCAGCATCTTCTCCCAAAGCACTTTCTTCCATAGCCTCAGCTGCTATAGGTGCCAACAACTCTCCTATGTATCACATTAGGCAGACAAGTCTATTTCAAGCTTTATTCCAGTTACAAATTAACATCCCAGTGTCTAGGCCAACTGTTTGTTTTTCTTCATCTAACTCTAAATTCTCTAAGGGCTGCTTCTTCAAGGGGAGGAGTTCTGAATAATTTTCAAATATTCAGGGTCATATAAATATTAACTTTTCAATGCACAAGTCACTAATTCAGGATTGATTGTAATTGCAATTTTAAATTCTAACATAATACTAAAAAACTCCTAAAACATTAAAGGAAGAAAGTGTCAAGTGCAATGTACATTCTGAAAAATACGAACTTAAAACAAACCTGCTAGAATATCCTGTAGCATACAAGTCAGAGAATACTGAGCCCATGCTCCTCCCCAAGAGATGTCTCCTCTGTTAAAGTCAGTTCCAACGAGAAGCAGCAATAATCTTTCCAACTGAGTCTCATTTACAATCTCACATAAATGAATTGTTGGTCTTGTAGCATTTGCAATCCTAGCAAGAACCTACAAAAAAGAGCAATATATGCCTAGTCATATTTAACACTATGAGAATATGCAATAGCTTTAATTTCTATAATTATTAGATTTTGCTTACAAGTAAAACAGGTATTTTTAGTAGCTTGAATTTTACAATTGTAATTATATTAGTCATTTTTTTTAAGTTACTTTTTCTATGCAATTTTGAAGCCACCATATGATAAGTTACACAAAAGGTGACAGATGAGAAAACCTACCTCATCAGAAATTACTAGAAATTTCAATGCTGCAGCCAATTTTTACCATCAAGACAGCAAAAAAGCAGTAATAGAAAGGTAATTTAACACTGCTTCTCCATCACAACTACAGAGTGATGTTCCATATTCTTTACCTTACAAACAAATAGAAGTAAATCTGCATGACAAGTAAAGTCCATGGATAAGAGAAAGAGTGCCAGCTTCTGCACTACGGAAATGCAACGTTCATGTGCCAGTGTAAATGGAAGTGGCTCGGCTTCTGGAGTTTCCTTTGCTGTTGATACTTCTGTATCTAAAGTAGAACGAGGCCATTCTGCAGTCCGACGTAAGCGTATTAAGTCCTTGAAATGCTGCAGAAATTAAATTTGAAACAACAGTTACATTTTTAAATTAACCTCTAAATCTTTTCCCAGTGAAAATCTGAGTAAGTAATAACAGTAACTGTAAAACTTAAAAAAAAACCAAACCACACACACACCCCTCCCCCGCAAAAAAAACCCAAACAACAACAAAACCAAAAACAAAAAATCACAACCAAAAACCACACAAACCCCAAAAAAGGAGAGTCTAATATACGAGAATCTGGAATGGAATTAAGGCTTTATTGGCAGAAATTTGTTTTGGCAGCATATTATCTCAGGTGACAGATTCATAATCAAATTCTCCAGTTCTGCACAAGATCCAACTAAGCCTTTACATTTGCCAGAAAACATATGGAGAACACGTATTTTTAAAATTTCTTTCATATTTCCACACTTGTATTTAAAGCTATGGTTACCATGAAGCAAACTGCATACAAAAATAGCTAATATGGAAATTTACCCTTACAAGAATGCTGACTTCTCAGTTCTTCACATTAGATAAATCGTCAATAATTTCTAATTTTCTTAATACTTCCAGGGTACAAAGTGTTCATTAGTCACCATAAATTGAACTAGTCTGATACTTGATCAGGACTCTAAACTACGTTTTTGACAGAGGGTCTACAAATTCAGTGAAGGAAAGATGATGCTTTTATTAATCTTTTCATCCACCAAGGGCACACATTTAGCAGCTCAGTTCATTCTATCAGCTACACAAGCAGTCTAAAATTAGGTAAGAGAAATGTCTCTTATAATCTCACTCAAGTAGTAGCTACTGATTAGTAGGCAAAGTAGTAAAAACTGCATGAAATGCAAATATCAAGTGTACAGTAATACCATAACTGGATGTTAAGATACTTCAAGGGGACAACTTTGGTTCAACGTGCTTTTTTGATGCAACATGGCTGCTGTAAGTGAAAACTTATATAGATGGAAAGCATATTTCAGCCAGTGACTCATTTAAAGACGTCTCAAGGGGGCCACCAGTGGCGTAGACCCCCTGATATAACCTGCTGGAATGAAGCAGAAGATAGTGCAGGAAAGAACAGCTCATGACAAGCAGAGTTAGTGAAAACCTAGAGCTTTATATTTATGCTGGTGTTTAAATTCAGAGTTTTTCTGGGTTTTTGTTTGTTTGTTTTGTTTTTCCCTTTTTCCCCTCATAATTACTGGAAGTTGTAAGATTTCTTGTAATGTTTCCGTTTAGATTGTCTTTAAGGTCCAACACTCTACAACCTCTTTCCGCAGGCCTACTTTCAGTCATCCTAACAGACATTATTATCTCTGGAACTAGAGAGTAAATATTTAAGGAGATAGATCTAAGTTTGGTATCTAGAAAGATGTACACCTTTTTTTTTTGTGTTCCCTGCAAAGTCCATGTCGTCACCTCCAGAAATCCCTAACTTTCAGTACCTCATCTCATAATCAAAATAATTCTTTAACTACCACATTCACTCTCAGTATCTGGGGCTTACTGCAAGATGCCACAACTTACATGATAAGTAATTTTAGGAAGCTAAGAAGCTTCTGAGAAAGCTCAGAAAATATTCTTAAAAAAATCATATTTATTAGTTCAGGGAGATAGTCATTGGTATGATTATTTTCTGATTACTCAACCAGGACAGCATCCAATGCATAAAAGTTAGTGGCATAAAATATTATTTTATATTTCTATTGATATATGTTATCCACAGTTTAAAAACATGACTGGCACTCCCAAAGCTACAAGATTATTAGTGATTTTGGCCAAGACTACCTGAAAAACCTCTACAGAAGGATTAGCTAATTTTCACAGCGCAAGAAATTTCCAGATGGCTGCTGTTTTCAGCATCAAAATATACTTGATAGCAGCCACGATGAAACAACTTTTAAAATAAGGTCAATGTAGGACAAAAATGACTTTGCAGGAACAGGACTTTCCACATAAAGTACAAGAAGTCAGTTACAGTTTCAGAGCATCATACCTTTGAAGTAGCCTGCTTTAGTTTTGCCTGTTCTACTAAAAGTTTGTATGATGATCCTTTGTTGCTTTGTATTTTCTCTTTTTCCATCTGTTCCACCAAAGCCTTCTGTTTTGCTTTTAATAAGTTAAGTTGCTAGAAGAAAATGTTAATAGGAAAAAATGAAAATTTAAGCAATAAGATGTTAAAAGGATCAGTATCGTTCATATGATAGTAATCTTCAGTTCAAATTGTAATCTCAGCTTTTAAAATACAGTTTATATACAATTTTAACTAAAACACTGTAACGGGCTATTAGCAGACCCAGAACAGATGAAGTTTAAGAAGAAACAGTATTTTTAAAGAAACAGTATTTTTGAAGAAGCTCAAGACATACAAGCCCAGGGCCATAAAACCTGCATGGTTGCATTAAGAAATGAAAATTTTTCTGTCTTAAGAATTATCAATTTTTAAATTACAGCTTAGGTGCTTCCACTCAGTGTACCCAGATTTATCTAGAAAGTAAACTGTAGTTATTGTTATGGGTCACAGAGTGCAACAGTACACTCCAACATCTGTTCTTCCAGCAGATCCCATGCCCCACGGTTTGAGACAAATGTCAAAGAAGTTAGGCAGCCTTCAGCTACAGAACTAGACCTACGCAAAAGCAAGGCTGAATGAGTCCCAAGGCCAAAGCTGTTCTTTCAAGCAATCAGAAATACTATAAGTGAGATACACTTCTGTGAAAATAGCCCCTACTGCGCTGGAAGTCACCTGTTTATGATGCACAAGCTGTTTTCTGATCTTTCGGGAATACAGTCTGTCCAGGCTACTGTTGCCTTTAGTAGATCTGCTCAGACTTTGAGTGTGAAGGCTATTATTTATAAAACTCCACTGGTTTCCTAATGGAAATAGAAAGAAAAGGGATATTAATCCATCTTATTAAACCTCACTTAACTCCAGAGAAAAGCATTTACGTTGTAGCAATGGTTAGCACACTAAATACTAAAGAAACAAGCAAAATCTAACTCAGTGTTATGTCAACTATCACCACTGATTGTAATATAAAGTAGTATTTCTGTGCAATTTTAAAATGCAGTAGTATCATCTTGTTTTCATTATTTTTAAAACACATAAGGAGGTAAGCAAGACTTTCCTAACTAAAAATATCTGAACAGCTTCCACAACACAAAAGCTTTACAGTTTTCATTTTTAGAAAAGATGTTCAAAGAAAATCATAGCTAATCCACTCATTTAATAACAAAAACAAACAAACAAAACATGCATTTAGAAATACTAGATAGAAATACCATGGCAAACACCAAAGCAGTTACAAAGTTATACTGTTGCCCTTTCTCACAATGCAACCTGTCTCAACATGGTGTACCCTCAACTGCCAGGTCCCAGAGTCACAGAATAATACACAGAGCTTTTACACGCTAGAATCAATCCTCTATTTCTCACTTTAAAAAAATGAAAGAAGTCATATTTCTAAGGAGAAGGGGATGCAAAGAAGCAGACAACAGTGCAAATAAAATGATCACAACATCTGTTTTTAAAATCTCATTTTAAAGTGAATATAAAATACATTTTAAGTATTTGAACAGCCTCCAAGTCGATATCCACAGAATCAAGTTTTGACATACCTGTCAAAAAACGTTCCCTCTCTTTTCCATTCAGAGGTTTCTTGGCTGTGGCTGCTTCATCTTCAACAGTGGCTACATAATCCAGTAGTCTGGACACCAGCATTACAACCCAGCTGATCATAGGAATGTCTAAAACTCCTTCAAAATAAATAGATTTGAATGCCTCAATAAAGTTGTGAAGCCATAACAAACTAGTTTTAAAGAAATCATAAAAAGCATAAGATGGCACACACTTCACTAAACCACAAAGATTCCACTCCCATTTGGTTTTTTAAAATGAGAGTAATAATCTGAGCACTCATAAATGAGGGAAGAAATGAAACATTCAGTATAGAACAAGTGCAAGAGAAAATGTCACAGTTCTCTCTTAGTCTGATGAAGTCAGAACTCAAAAACTTCACCTCTATTATTAAAGCTAAAAATTAAGTGGCAGATTTTTAAAAAAAAGTTGTATGTCTAAATTTCCTAAATACCAAATGCAGAATGACAGTTGTTTGCATTAAAACACAAATCGAACGTCTCAAATTCCATAGTGTGAAATTCCTCCATCAACCAGAGCTCCAAGAAGACAGTTACAACTGTGCATTCAAATATCATCATTTTTACTCCTTTCGTAGTGTATTTTCAGGTAGCCACCTGAATAAGATGCAGGAAAGCGGAGTTCAGACTAGATGAACAATGCTGGCAGCACCAATGACTGGCTATTGCCTATCTCAGTTTCACTACTCTCGTGAGGGTAGATTTCAATTAGATCTAAGGAAGAAAATTCTTCACTCTGAGGATGGTGAGGCACTGCAACAGGCTGCCCAGAGAAGTTGTGGATGCCCCATCCCTGGAAGTGTTCAAGGCCAGGCTGGATGAGGCTTTATGCAACGTGATCTAGTGTAAGGTATCCCTGCCTGTGGCAGAGGGGTTGGAACTAGATGATCTTCAAGGTCCCTTCCAGCCCAAACCATTCTGAGAGTGGTGAGGCAGTGGAACAGGTTGCCCAGAGAAATTGTGGATGCCCCATCCCTGGCAGTGTTCAAGGCCAGGTTGGACGAGGCTTTGGGCAACCTGGTGTAGTGGAGGGTTTCCCTGCCCATGGCAGGGGCGTTGGAACTAGATGATCTTTAAGGTCCCTTCCAACCCTAACCATTCTATGATTCTATGATCAAATGCAGTATTTTCATACAGGCAGAAGGGAAAAACACCCATGTCTTACACATCTTGCAAGAAAAAATCTTTGTGTCTATGAGTACATCTAAATGAACAGTTCTAAAATGAAGTCCGAGTGCTCAAAAAAGACCAGAAACCTACAAGTAATAACCACTTAACCACAGCCATTACACAGATGGCATACTTTTACATAACATCCATACAGCAAAGTCATTAGCACTAGAGGTTACACGTGCATTTTCATACCTGCACACTGTGCTGAGTCACGTTTAACTACACTACACTTCTCATGCACTGACCTCAAAAAAGCTTTTGTTAACTCAAACTATTATTAATTCCAGATCAAACAAGAAAACTAAGGCACAGAAACAACTTGTCCAAAATCACATGTAGCTGCTGGCAGCACAAGCAATAGGATGCAGGCCCTGACTGTTAACTCCAGTTTTCTGCTCACACTGGCAGAAAGCAGCCACCCCAAGCCAGCAGAGGAACAGGAAGCCTCCCTGAACAGGATCTGCAGACTAAATTGCAAGAATAGAAACGAGTGGCACTGGTGATCACTACGCACGTTTTGGTTGGCAGAATAAAGAGAAAGAAGCCTGCTGCAGAGTGAAGTATATACCTTTACATACTTCTGTTTAAACAAGTGCATTTCTTTTCATCTCTTAAAAAAAATTAAAAAAAAAAGCAAAAAAAAAAATCACAATTTTCAGCTTCTCTCCCTCCCTCCAAGTGCCTTTTGCTTATTCCTTTTTTCCCCTTTCTGCTCCAAGTTTATAACTTCTCTCTACCTACAACACTCACCTCTTTCTCTGATTGTCCTTTGTTTTCTGACTTTTTCCCCAGTAAGTTTTCACCCCCTTGACCCTTAGTTATGTGTGATAGTTCTCAAATAGGAATTTCTTCTTCCGTACCTGATGCTTCCACCACACATAATAATGCCCTAGTACTCACCTGTACTGTCCAGGAGGAAGGAAGCTGAAAGACCAGCAAATAAAGCTCTGAAGTATCAGTTACTTCTGCTTCCTATAAGTCCTCCGTGAGGACAACTAGTAAGGCAAGAGCTATGAAAGGAATTGGCAGCTGTGGGGAGAGTGCAAACAGAGGTAGAGGAGACGTAAGCTTGGGTTTGCCTCAAACTAGTTAGAGACTACAGCAGGATATGGCCACGATAGAGAAAGTACACGGCAGACCAAGGGGAGGCACTAGGACAGCTTCTGCCACCAGCTGTAGGCTTGTTTACATCAGGAGACACGGTAAAAAGTAAGGACAGAGTCTCAGCTGGCAATTACACGCTTTGCAACGCTAAGAATTTTAAACAACATTTGTTCTACAATGCTCTGCTACATCTATGTAACAAATGAAGCAGCCTAGAGTTTGATGTTTTTGAAAGTAAGCATTTTCTTAAAACAGTTAAGAAAACACTCAAAGAAAATCAAGTTTAGAGAATATAATTTCAGTAATTTTTTAAGAGTCAAAAAAATCCCTTGCAGTTTGCAGAAACCATGCAGATACACCTAACAAACTCATCTTCATAACCATGTTTTATCTCAAAAGCTTGAAACTTAGAAAGGATCTCATGAGCAAAAAGGGGCACTTCTTTCCAAAACGCTAAATTCCAAAGTCATTCACTAGAGTCACTAGAGCTGTCTATACATTGGATGTTCCTCCCACTTTGTTAAAACTTTAAAGCTTCCTAGCTGAACTAAAAGCAACCAAATAGATTTTGCTCAGGTTTAATCAGGGAAGTGAGGGGAGGAATCTCTTTAAGGACCTAAAGAACAAGCACTTTCAGTACATTTTAAAAGACAACTGTGTTTTGGAAATACAGAAAACGAGCAATTTCTTCTTTTAACACATCAAAAATTGTGAGCTAGTCTCTCAATTTTCTAGCTTATAATGTATATGAAAATATAGTTTCCCAAATTAGAGGGGTACCTTCAGTTCTTCTGTGCACAGGTAAATGAGGTTGCAGTGGTGACAGCAGGTTATCCAGGAGATTAAGTAAACTTTCTAAAACACCACTGTTGCTAAGCGATCTTTGGCCAATGCAAGAAAGCAACATGAAGACCCTAAAAATAAAATTTAAATATTTAAGATTTTATTTCTTTTCAGATCCAATAATATTCTGAAACACCCCTTACAGAACAATATTCCTCTAGCCTTTCATCTGAGACACAAGCAGATTGCTACAGAAAGCAGTACTGTGGCCCAGCAAGTGAACTCGAGTTCATGTTCTTTTCTTGAAAGGATAATGCAGTATTTTAGGGTGAACGTTTTCTCTTTTACACTCAAGAGGTCAGCAGAGCATTCCATTGGAAAGAAGTTCTCATCAGTTTTATTTCCTACTACATATGATATACTGAATAGCAGAGATAGAGAATTAAATCCATGTATTCTTATAACCTGGAATTAATTCATTTTAAAAAATTACGAAAATATAAATGTTGCTGTCCAAAGAAGGCAGAAAGCCACAGAACAGTGAATGTTTGATTAATATAAATGTTTAGAATGTCAAAGATTTCAATCGATGATCTGAAACATGCAACACATCTAACATTCAATGCTCAACTATATGCTTTTTTGCTCTTATCTCAGAGAAATCTTTTGTACTAAATGCTAATAGTGTGCTTTCCAGTCTCAATCCTACTTCCAAATTCATTAGAAGAACAGCTCTATGATGAGGCTGCATTTAATCCTGATAAAAGCGACAGCAATTTTTGACACTGAGGAGTGTTCCTGGTAGGTATGTGAAGATCTCCAGGTAAGGAAAAATAGCAACTTATTGCATGCAAGCACCAAATAGGTGCAATAAATAACTGCAATCAGACATTTATCATTTGCAGTGCTTTGTTGGGACTCTTAAATCAACAGAATAGATGGATAAGTATCCTTCGGTCTCATTTTGTCAATTCCAGTGTTAAATCACAAGCAATCAATTAATATAGACTTATACCTTACCTGTCTTGTGGGAATATGAGAAGTTGCTCTGAATTGTATAATTCCTGCAGCACATTAGAGAGAAACTGACCCCACCATCTTTCTCCTCCACAGAGTTGCACAAGCAGAAGGCCAGTATGCAATCGTATCTTTGGGGTTCCACTGATACATAGGTGTTTAAATAATTCTTCACAAGCTTGAGCATGGAAAGTACTTTGCAGCACCACAGGAACAGAGTGCCCTTTTAAGAAAAGGGAACAAGCAACTATGTTTAAAGAGAAAATGGCTTGAAAACATAGGAGGAGAAGGTTTGCAGGAAGTTTTTAAAACTATTATGCTTAGACTAATTGGAACAGAGGAGAAGGAGGAAACACATGGGGAGATGGCAATTTGCAGTTAACCCATAAAGACCAGGCTATTTGGTCAAAATCAAATCAATTTCATGTCAGTGCAAATATTCCCATGGAACCTACACAAAGCAAAAACCAAACCATTTATATGATTAAGAACAAACTGGCACAGAAAATTACAAGACAGACACACCTGTCTATCAAGAGAACAATGTTCTGTCTTTTTTTGTTTGTTTGTTTTCTTTTTTGAAAAAAAAGACCACTCCTACTCAGACTTTTCAATTTTAATTCTCCAAAAACTCCATCAATGGCAGGTTTAGGAAATAAAAATCCTTAACTGGATATTAAAAATCATGAACTGAGTAGAGATACTGGTTTTATGACTCCTCCCACCCTGAAGCAATTTATACTTCTCCTCCCCACTTCTAACTGCCTAATCCATTCCATGTGCTGCACAAACTTCAACGCTCAGATTCCTCCATAAGTTGATTCTACTTATGAAAACAACATGAGTATTCTGCTTAGGAGTCTCTTGTTACCTCAGCAAACTGAATCAGCCCACAAAAGGATCAGATGACTATCTGAACAAAGGAATATGCAGCCAGGACTACAGCAAATGGAGATGGACTTTGACACCCTCTCCTATCCTTTCGGGAGCAGAAAGTGGTTAGATCAGCTTGGTGCCACTGGTGAAACTTTACACTGTATGCAACCAGCTACTAAAATCATAGTAAAACATATGTGAACATAGTTTAAAAGCTTTATAGTGGGAAAGTACAGATCAAGAAATAGAAACACTTGCCAATTATTTCTACTAACATGACAAAAATATCAAAACCTCAAAAAATACTAACCATTGGAAGAATGAAGCAAACTAAGCAAAGTATCCAGTAAGTATCTAATGATGGTGCGCAACTGCTCTGTGGATGACATCTGAATCAACTCTTTCGGATCAGACTGCTCCTTCAGTGTTTTCCTGCTTGCACCTAAAGCTACTTTTAGCCTCTGAACAGCATGATGAGCCAAGTTGAGTTGAAGCTGTAGCTGAATGCAGTCCTGGTAAGCAGAAAATACTCTGCTATCTTCTTCTACTGCCTTGTCTGGCTTTCGTAAAAAGTACTGGGCATTGTTAGCACTATTGAGTGGTGGCAGGTCAATACTCTGCAGAAGGATTTCTAACCGATGACAGGCCAAATTGTACCTAAAGAGAAACATTCCAACACACGATTCAATAGACATTAGCAAAGGGCAATACATTTGACAGTCACCCTGCCGGAAGACAACTACTGGTCAATTTTGAATGCACTGTTAAAACATATACAGTGTAGTCTTTGTTACTGCTGTAAAGATATTCACTGTAACAACTCTAAAACAAAGGCAGAGTTTTCTTTGGTCTGAAGAATATAATGGAAAGAAAAAATATAAATCTGTAACAGTATGATATCCCAGTGTTATAAGTTAAAATAACTAGTAAGTATGCATATTCTTTTTCTTCTAACCTGCATTGTATGTCTTCTTGCAATGCAACCATCATTGCCAAATGTTGGTCAATTTCTGGCTGATTTGCAGCTTCACCTTCTCCTCTGAGGGGATCGTGCATTAGTTTCAGCTCATTTTCAAAGGGTAAGATATAGGTATGGCCATAATAAAATCCTAATGGGATTTTTGCTCTGGCATTTGTGCTACCATATCGACCAATAACAGTGATCTGAAAGAGAATGCAGCTATACTGTAACACAATTGTACTGAAACAGGCAAAATAAACACCAAGTCAAAAATTCTTACAAAAATTACAGTCAACTAAAGTTTGGTCTGAAGAAAACTTAAAAGGATAGATCACATACTAACAAACACCAAGAGTTAAAAAGACAGATTGCATATAGTCTATCTCCTTTTACCTTCATAAACCTGCAAACTGGGGGTGGCAACAAGTCATGTAAAATAAGTGAATGTGTGCTAATGTCAGTAGCCACTACCAGTCGCCTTCCATCCACTTCTTCTCCTAAAGTCCAGATGTCAATTGACAAAGAAGCCAAATCTCCACAAGTGGGAATCAATACATCCGTCAGCAATATAGGTCTTCCAAAATCTAAGGTCACAAATCTTCTTGCTCCTAGGGGAAAAAAACAGGATTGCCTAAAATACCACTGCGAGCTAACCAGTGAAGAGATGTTACTTCTCAAACAATAAAATCATTGTTTATATATTGTTCAAAAGGTGTAAATTTGAGGTCAAAAACAGCTGCACAATCTCAGAATCTCTCAAGATAGCTTGCACTCTTTGAAAAGAAAATTTTGGCTTCAACTTAATTTAGGTTGTTATGCTTTTTATGTATTATTTCAGAACAGGTGCTCTGTCCAGAGACCCAAAATATTCCCCAGCCCTCAGGATTTTTCAGCTTGGTAAACACCACTGAACACTAGGTCTTAAACTTCCAGATACAAGAGAAACACAAACTGAGAAATATATTTTCTTTGGAAAGCCAGGTGAGACTGCAGATAAGCAACTTACTTAAGACCCTGGAAAATACTCTATGTCTTATTAGAAAATGTGTCAAAATTATTATGAGAGTTATTATGAGAAATTATGTTTTTACCTGAGTGCATTCGCTCTATAATAATTGATTGATGAGGTGGAGGTTGAAGAAAATGTGAAGCGTGAGATATTGCAAGAGCAAGACCAGATCCAAGTGGATTCTGAGGAACGGGAAAACATCAGTAAAATTAAGACACTAAAATCTATGCATTTATAATAAACTGTTCTTTACAGAAGACTCTAAGACTCTTGTGATTTAAAAACGGAAAATTTTGACGACATCTCACTACATTTAGATTCAAGCATGAACCACCAAAATGCATTAACTACTAAGTTCAAAGGACTAGTAACTCCTTATGCAGTTAAGCTAGCTCCAATCAAAAGAAACCACTGAGGTACTATAACAACTCTATCTTGCTTCCATAAGGTTTTTCTTTTCATATGGCTTCAATTCAGTGATACAGTTTTCATATCTCATCCAAATCAACACATATTTACTAGCACTCAAGTACGAATTAGATACTCATAAGGCTTACAGCATTTTGCTTCTACAATAAAAGTAAAAATAAAAATAATTACCGTTCTAGACTTGCTTGCATTTTTGTTATGTGCTGAAAGGTTAACTGTTGGGGGATCAATGACTGAACCAGGGAAAAGCTGAGCAAGCTCTGCATTAATAACAGCAGAAACTGCCTCATTAGGTGGAGTCAAAGGTGGAGTCATGAATAGAGGAGTTGTTTTTGGTGTGGGTGGAATGACATCTGAAGGATGGATGAAGAACCCTGGGGCTGCTACTGGATTAGAAGGCACAGAGTTGTGAACAGGACCAACTGCTGATGCTGCTGCTGCCGCCGCTGCAGTTGTCTGATGCAGCTTTGCTTCCAGCTTAGCTTTCTGTGAGGAAAAAGAAAGCAGTGTATGTAGCAGATAATAGCGCTTCTGAACGCAGTAGTAGTATTGAACTACAAGTTCAACTTTTATTATAAAACTGAATTTAATAAATCCAAGCTACCTTCAGCATAGGCATGTTAGATGTCCAACCACAAGCTGAAAAATGAAATTCATTTGATCTCACTTTGACAATTTGACCTTAATTACACGTCTTCAGCAAGTAAGTAATTAATTGGAGTAGTCAAAAAATTTTAAAAAAAAGTACAACTGAAAAACAGTAGAGTCAACAAAGCCAAGTTTCATATTGACAATAGCTTTATGACTGGTATTTCCCTCTGTTGGTAATTGTGCTTTTCATTTCAATGGTCTTTTTCAATTTCAGACTGATGCGTATTAAGACTTAGTTTTGATTACAAACTCCCAACCCACCCTCAAAATACACAAAAAAAGTCTGAAAGACCAAAGTAACATGGGAGACACTCTCAGCATTTTGCTTAATAAGAGTGATCCTCAGAGTAGAGCCGTTCCTTCCTCAAATACACTATGGAGAGAAGAAAAAAAAAAAGTGACTAGCTCTGCAACTACTTTCTCAGCTTTTGAAGTTTAGAGACAGCATTAAAAAATAGCCAAATAGCCTCCAACCTGTTGCTGAAGCTTCAAAAGCTGCTGCTGTTTCTCTTGCAGCACCTGGAGCTGTTGCTCGGCTGAGGCCATTGCATGAGAGAGAGACTGCAAAGCTACCTGGGCTGCTGAACTCAGTGCTGTCGAGGCTTCCCCAACCGTTCCAGAAGAGAGGCCACCAACTGCTGGGGTAACCCCGAAGGTACTCACTGGCATGAAACAAACAAACAAAAAAACAACCAAACAAAAAACATGTATGTAGAAAAGAAATTATAAAAAACACTTTTAATTTAATTCCTTGCTAATTGTCAAGAGCAATGTAAAAACAAGAGAAATACCTCCTTTTACCCAGTTCTTGCTACAAAGTAACATACTCTTGAATTACAAAGTCTATGGTTTAGACACTTATCATACATGCAACATTTTCATTACAGAAGAGCCACCTAATGCCCTGGAATTCTTTCGCCACAAGGCTTCAAGGTGAAGATGTAGGCCTGTACGTTATTCTCTCCAATAGAAAAAATTTGATTCAAATTAATAAATTTAGAATCCATTTTGTTAAGCTCTAAGAAGTTTAACTATTAAAAAAAAAAAACAACACATTTTAACACTATAAAACTACAGGCAATCTGTCAAACAGTGCTCATTATGTCCAACTAAAAGTATCATATCGTGGAACTATGGTAAGTAGAAAAAATGAAAAATTGTATATACCAGTAAACGTACTTGCATCGTCCCTTTCTATTCTAGTTCCATCACTTGTTGAAACACAGGTAAAGTGCAGAGGTTCAACTTCCAGAAGTCCAGTAAGTGAAGTAAAACTACCTTCAGCAGCTGCACAGCTACTTATTTTCCCGTTTCCTGAAAGAGAAATAAATATCTGCACAATCGGCTAATGTCTTCTTGATAGCGGCATTTCAAGTCACGAAGAGTCAAGAGGGACAACTAAAAATAATCCACATATTTTATTACTTCATGTTGTGGAACAAACATCTTAACACTATCACATCCACAATATTAATGGAAGTTATTTTTATTTATATTTTAAAATGGATAATGCTGCCAAATCTGAACAGAGTATCTTAATAAGTCAAACTACCAAATGTGACAGCAGAAGCATAGTGTAACCTCCTTAATTCCAGAATTAAACTATATATAGATGCTCTATTCTTTCTACACTGTGAGAAAATTAGTTTGCAAAAATACATTGATGTCACCAGAAAGGAAGAGAAAGAAAACAACAGACCAACTACCATCACACACTAAGTTAGGAAAAAAACTAGACTATTAGTCAATATACTAAGAAATTCACAGTGTTGCATGGAGGCAGGGATGGGAAGGAGATGGACAAGAACACAGAAGGAAAGAAGTCACTGTGACTGATGAATACACTTGTTTTGAAAATAATTTCATGACTGGTAAAAGTTGTCTCATTATTAGGACATTCCATGGCCTAAAGATTCACTTACGAACTAACCTGCTAGCATAGATACAAAAATGCTTTTAAGGTATTTTAATGCCTCTGAAACACAAAAAATGCCTCATTAAATCTGTAATATTTAAGTAGAAGAGTTCCCTATGGCAGGTTCCAAACTTCAGAAAAATCCATTTAGGTTTCTCTTCCTATGAGATGGTTGCTAGTCTAAATGAATAATAACATATCTCAAGGAAGCTGCTCAACAGAAGTGACAGATGCTTCCTAGATGACTCTGATCCAGGGAATGACAGCAGCCTTTCTGTTTAATCTCTGGCATTTTCTTAGCTCTTCTACAGGATAAGAAAAGAACATTTTTCTTGTCCTAAGGGCTACAGGAAACGTAAGAGATCCCACAAAGCAAGAGGATATCTTTAATTTTGTTATGTACAGCTATAAAACAGATGGAAAGTATAAAACCACATCTTCACTAAAGGAAAATCGTACAACAGAGAGAATTACCAGTATTTCCACAACAGATTACTGTTAAACATACGTACCCGATAGAACATCAGACAAATCAATTTCATCTGACTGTACTCCAATGCTGCTGTTGTATACATTTTTACAAGAAGAGCCACTTATTTCCAAATCAAACAGAACTGGATCAAAAGGCGAACTGTATAATCCATATCTGCAAATGGAATAAGACAAACAGCACTATTCAAACAATAAGAATTTATATAAAATTATTTACAGAAAAGGTATTTCATCATCAGGATGTATTATATTCCAAATTATTCTTTTCATTCAATTGACATATCTTAGAAATTATAATTTAAATTACTTTAATGAAGTATTAGGTGACCTTTTCAAACAGCTTGTGAGGCTAAAGAAGTAACTCTTCATAATAAATAAATAGTTTTGAAGATGTACTACTGCCCTGGAAGCACAACACAATCACTCACACTCAGACATGGAAACTAGAACTACAAGCCTTAGACAATTACCCGTAGCAATATGCATGCCTGCACATGGTAAATCAGACATTTATCTGAAGTCAATAAAAACACAGTACTGTTTCCCAAAACAGCAAAAGAAATTCCACCTCAGCTTGCTCTTCCAGCTGAAGTAAGAAGAAAAAAGGAAATGCTGCTAGGGATGATAAACACTTGCGAGTACTTTATGTATCTCAACAGAAGAAAATCTCATTACTCCTACTCTGGCAGTACTGCAGGGGAAAAAAATAATACAATCACTCAGGTAACAAGGTGGTCCCAAACCAATTAAGGTTTTATAAGCCAAGAAAAACAAAAATCCAAACTAAAAACAAAATCAGTGTTGGTTTTCTTGTGTACCAATACCTACTACCGGCAACTGACAAGAGAAAAAAAAATTGAAGTCAGGCCAAAGTATTAATCAAGAGTAGAAAGAAAGAAGGCACCTCTGTAGGTACAAAAGTAAGAAACATACAACACTTTGTGTTTTGACAAATATGAAATATTTCCATGAACACACCAACAGCAACAGGAAGTTCCTCCACCCTCTTTTCCCTCAGCCTCCAAGCAGCTTCTTGCTTCTTTAGCAGGTGAGGAAAGCCCTCAACGGGTAACGCTGAGAAGGCTGGAGTATTTAAGTGTCTTTTTTGATCAAGTAGTCACCGAAGGGTAAATGTCTACATGAATACTACACCAACAGCTACAAGGCAGAACAGGTTCTAGACTTCTCCGAACACTCCCACGTTGGCTGGGCTCAGTGCTTTTTGCCACACAATACTCAGACTGTAACTAGTCAGAAAATGACATTATACGAAAAGGCAACAGTTGCTACTGATTTCAAACAAACAAAAAAAGAACATGTGAGAATTACAGATCAACTCATTCAGCATACATTCCCCAACCAAGTTATTTACAAGCACCTCCAAGGTGGCAAATTTAAGATGACAACTTTATACCAAGAATAACACATATTAGAGGAATCCAGGTTGCTCTCTACACACACGTACTACACAGAAACAGTGCATACTGCACATCTAGTAAGACTGTAAGCAAAGCAAGACAACATGCTACCACAAAGTGGTTACTAAAACACACAAAAAATCCTCAGACAAAATTCAGTAGGGTACCTTGACAGCTTGTTTTAGACCTCAGATTTACAAACTCAATAAACTGGGTCAGCTCAACATTAACATTGATTACTTGCATGATTTAAGTGAAGTGTTGATTTATTAAGCGAGTGATTAAAACAAAAAAGGCGTTACAAGAGCTTTGTAGAATAGGATCAAAATTTGAAAGTATTGCAGAGAGTTAAATATATTCTATCCGACCCAGATTTATTTCAATATGCACAGTGCCTTTTACTGATTCTTCAGCGGGAATGATCAGGTTCACAGTTCCAAGTTGCATTAGCAACACTTTTCAGAAAAGAATATAGAAGTTACATCAACAAAAAACAAAGAACGAATCAACAATGTCACAAAAAAAGCCCATCACCCTATTCATCTATGCAGTAATGAATATAAACTATGTAAAATTCCTCTTATGCTTCACTCAGATCTCAATTGGAATCATGTTTACAATTTTGTATACCACAATTCAAGGAAGATGAGGACCAAATAAAACAGCTCAAGGAAATGCTTTAAGAATGACTACAGATCTGGAGAATACGATCAAGATATAAACATCCTCTAGACATCCAAAATTTGATAAGAATGAAATCATCTACTCTTTATCGCCAAGGTGGTCAGGACACAAACACTAAAAGGCTTTAGCTGCAGCAGGAGAGTTGTCAGATTAGATGTGGGCAGAAGGAGACAGTTCAAGTGGTAATGATAAGAATAATTAAGCCATGTAATAGCTTATAATATTTAGAATAGTTAATTTCCACCACTACTTTAATCAGGTGTTTTCAAGTACAGGCTGGAGAAATTCCCCAGATTTGCTAGAGACAAACCACCTTTGTTGTAGGACAGCCTAAAATACTGTCTGAAATCCCTTTTTTGTTCTCTAAACTGTAAGTCATGTAACAGCCATCTGGCCTTATCCTTTCAAGTTTTACTTGCCTTATTGTGGCACATGATAGTAAAACGAGTACTACTGTGCCTGAGGACAACGTGAATGTACAGATCCTTTAAGCAGACATTTGCTTTTATTTGATTACCAAATGTTAGGCTATTGTACCTGGGAACAATGACAAAGAAGAGAAAAAGCAATAACAGAAACTCTGGAACACAAATGCATACAAATATGATAAAATACAACTCGGGGAGAGGGAAGAGAAAAAGAGTAAAGTAATGGCTGCCTACTAATTTATGTTTTTTTAGAAAAGAAAAATATATTAATAGTGATCTTCTATATAAAAAAAAAACTAACCAAGAAATGACGGTATTCTCTTGATCTGCAGAAACATAATGCAATGGCTTTATTAAATTCCATCTAAATTATTAAACTAAGTCAAGAAATAGTCAGTCCTTGCCAGATAGAGAGCTATAGTAATAAAATACGGGATTAGACAAATGTGTCTGCTGCTATTCTTACCCTAACTGTAGGGATACTGAGTGAAAAGAGAAAGCAAATTTAGTTCCAAGAAGAAAATCCATAAAAGACCATCTAGAAACATTCAGAAAACCTAAGCCTGAAGGATGCCAAGAACAGGGGCTCACTTGAGAAAGCTTCCCTTGAGATGCAGACAGCTGTGTTCACCACTAAGTGATCTGAAATGTCACATCTGCCAAACCTAGAAGTGGGCAACTGGAAAGGAAAAAACATCTATTTCAGATATGCTCTTTAAAGGAGGTACTTGGAAACAATCTATATAAAGGAAAGAGTCGATTCCTACAGAAATTCTACAGAAGCAGAATTTTCATGTTTTCTCCTCCATTTGGTTTCTAAAGAAAATTCAACATGGAAACACAAAACCTTGTGTTTTTCCAGTTCATTTTGTGTATTTTTCAAAATTCTCAAGTTATCCAGTCACCATTTCTATTGCTGGGATAAGTCTTGACATCAACTGCAAAGATTACAGATGGTGAAATAAAGTAGCAACCAAGAAGAGGAAGGTAGTAGAGAGCATTATAAGTATTCAAGTATAACACCTAAGAACAAATTATTACCAAGTATTTTGGTAATATAGTCCTTTAAAAAAAAAAAAATTAAAAAAACCCAAACAAACCACAAAGGTCCCTTCCTCTACAAACTTAGATTACTAAAATTTAAATCTGATCTGAAGCTTCAGAACCAAAGATGTTGACCTCTACCAAACCTCTTTTACCTTGATCTTGCTTGTCCTGGAGGAAACTCCTGCCCACAGATCACAACTGAAAAAGCTGCCTAACAGCAGCAGGTTCTCATCATTGTAATACAGCTTTGGAAAGCGCTACAAAACTGAACCACTAGATATTTCCTTCAGGTATCACATATATTTAAAGTTAAATGGTGAATGAGATCAATATGTAAAAGGTGCAACATGATAGTCTGAAATTCTATTGACACATATCGATATATAATCAATCTTATTATGAATTATATTGATATATAATTTATAATAAAAACATACATTCCCAGTAAATGACTCCAGATCTCTATACTTGGAACTTGACCTTTAGTAGCAATTCCTTAAATGAATGGTCAGCTTACGGAGAGACTACAATTTTGTGTAGCATTATGCAGAACTGAAACTATTCTGTATATCTGATTCTGTCCCATACTGAAAACATGACCTGCTTTGTTAATGCTTACACTAAAATCATAAATAATAACTTAAGCATTGTACAGACTGCAAACATTACATACACTTTTGCTGTTTTTAAGTGCACTGTAAATTTCAAGATGGCAATTAAATTCACCGTTAACTTTGCACAAGTCAAAACTGTTTTCCAGAGCTGTATCAAACTAATCCTTGTTCAAAACAGTACGGCAAAACGCATCTTTTTTTTAAACAGCCAAGCTTTTTCACAACAGCAGAAGACAGCATTAGAGAGTTTGTATGTTTGTTTTTATTAAGTTTACAACAACCACATTTCTTAGTACCTTGTCTGAAGTAATGCTTCCATAGGTGTTAGGCGATCCTGCAACTGTCGGGACACAGCAGTTAGCAAGGATGCACACGCTGTGCTACATCCTGACAGATCTTCATCCTTTACGTAATTCAGCAATACGAAATACCAATACACAGATCCTGCATTAAAAGAATAAATTAATTTCAGGTGAACCATGATGCGACTTTTCCACTCAGAAAGCATACTTTGAAGCATAATCAATGAAAGTGATAAATTAAGTATCTAGTGGTTACTGAACACAGACTAAGAAGCATTCTCTCCCTCCCCTTTTTTTGAGAGACTTCAATTTAGAATCGTTCTGTAATCACTAGTTTCCACAAGTACTTCAAACTCTCTTATCAACTAATTCACAACTGAAGAACAAATGGTTACCAAGAGACAGCTTCACACCTGCTGCTTTCATTGCTTCTGCCCACTGCTTCTACTAACCACAACAATCAAAATGCTCTTGATACACTAAGGTGCTAGGCTAGGGGTTTCAACCCCTTTGCAGCCAAGCCTTACTTTAGATTCGACTCCTCCTCTCCTCTTATCCCTTGCTTTTCGTTACTGTCTCCTTATTCTCTATTTGCTGCAGGCACTATTTCCTTTCAGATCAGTTCTGGGAGCTCAGTGCAGTGGTTCTGTACAGGAACACAAACCTTAGCTTCCTTCTCCTCGTCTCCCTGTGCGTTTCACGTCCTCTATAGCAGTGTTAAATGTTTCTCCCTGGGTGGCAGCACGAGTGTTTTGGACTGCAAACTAACTTTCATGCAAGACCCCTTGGTGATGTGAAGCTAGATTCAATTCAACAATTATTTTAGTTAAAAATTTCTTGTTGGTGCGGAAGTAACGGAAGATGGCTAGTTGGGCATCATTTGGATAGCCAGGCTCACTGGAATAAATCTCCTAATTTTCAGAAATAACAGACAATCCTGACTCTCACTTATGCCAACAGAATCTGTGGTTGCTGAACATCTTTGAAAATTCTTGCAAAATTTACTTAAGCTCTCCCGAAAACGCCAGTGCCTTAGCACTTTGTTTTAAGCAAGCTAATTTGCTTAAATTCCATAATCTACAAATGCAAGTTTCAAATTTGGGTACCACCTGACCAGACCACTCCAAGAAGCAGCTTGTAATAACTGAACAATTACCTAATTCTTATTTCACCAGAGAGTCCACCAAAACATGCCAAACAACAAACGTTAGCGTGTATTTTTATGACAACATTGTATACGTACCACCTGTTGCAGCAGCAGGCAAAAGAGGCATATTGTCAAGTAAAGCTTTTAGAAGAACTGATCCAAACCCCTGCTGAGTTGGGTCACACCTGCCATTGCTACAAAGAAACACACTGACACTTTAACATTTAATGAATTAATAACAAACATGAAATCTCCAGAATATGAAGTTAAGACTGATGTTCTTTGCAGTCATACCCCAAGACATTTTTCCTCAACAGCAGACCTTTCAGATCTTGTTGCTTTATAAATTCAATGTTAAACAATTATAAACACATACAGACAATTCAGACTGCATGCAAAAACCCCATATATATAAAAATTTAAAATACATAGCTATAACTAATTAAGCACTGACCTGATGCATAGGGCAAGAAATCGTGCACATTTGTGAGCTATGCTCCGCCCAGCTTCAAAGAAGCAAACACGTATTATATCAGAGACACATTTACGTGTTTTAGAAAGCAAGCTGTCATTTCCTTCCTTTGAGCTGTAAAAACAAGTTGCATCCTTTAGAGAATCGTATAAAACTTTATTCTTCTAACAGAGCTGATACTGAGAAACAGCCATGCTAATTTAAACTCAATTTCTCTCTTACCTGCCAGGGCCATTTGAATATACTCCGGCCAGCCAACAAAGCGCGTCTAGTACAAGACTCTGAGCATGTTCTGTTGTCAGACCATCATCTGTCTTCTTGCAAAGAGTGGTGAGCAGCTTCTCATGGAACTCTGAAAACTGTAACATGGCACACCGTTGAACTCTAGGGAGGAAGGGAAGGAAATAAGAAACAGAATTATCCAATATGGCCATTCTCCCATTTAAGTGTTCCTCCAGCTTTGTATCCTGTCTCAGCAGCAGTGAAAAAAAGATGCATAAATGAAAGTAAAACTAGGACACAGGCATATATGATACTTTCTGTGCACACATTCCCAGTGTTTTTATTTTCTGCTCACAGAACTTCCTAGGTTACTGTATATTAGTAACCTTCCGGGAATCTATTTTTTTTTCCTATTACCTTATCTAGTAACTTCTAAATTTAAACAAAATTTCATCATCTACAACATTCTTTGGCAGCAATTTGCACATACCTCTTTGCAGCCTCTTTGACATCTTTAAGCCCATTACAGCCAGTGTTACCATTGTGGGGTGGCAGTTGGTAATACAAATCAAATAATATATTATTATATAGCATAAAGACTTTAACCTTTTTTTTGGGGTAACAATTTGTTAGTTAAATTTGATTCTAAACTTTTTGACAAATAATATAGTCTGTGCTATAAGACACAAGATAGCATGTGGAAACAGAAAGGAAAGATGCTTCCTTTAAAAAAAATCTGTCCAATTAATTTATCTGATTTACCAAGAAAACTTTTACATTTGCCTTTTCAAGTCAGGTAAATAATTGCTTAACATACAATTTCACGCATACTGTTATTCTACCACAACTTGCACAGCACAGTGCCCTCAAACTCACAATTTACAGGATTTTCCATATAAAATATGTTTTTGAAATGACAACTTGAAACAGTGGTTTGACCTGAGCTATTTTGAGAAGTATTTTTATGAGGAGTGTAACTAAAGTTACTTGTTTTTCAGAATTAAAAACCACTTACTAACCTTTCCTTTGAAATTGAAGTTTTTTTAAATCTTCGAATCGTTACAGAGACTTCTTGAAGTAAGTCACAGCCTCTCAGATTGTCTGATTTTCTTGAAGAATTAGTGGCTTCAATTTTGCTAGATGGCTTTTCCTGATTTATTTTTTTGGGGGGAAAAAAAAATCATAAATCATGTTGGTTTTTTAACTACTCCATTTGTATAGTTTGTACAGTGAAATGCATACAGTTCAGAAAAATCTCTCAGTTTGAGCGTTGTACTAAAATAGACTACTTTTATTCACTAATTGCTTTAATACAGAACATCAAATTTAACAAAGTTCTGGAATTTATTATGTTATCATCCAATCTTACAACTACAATGATCAAAAGTAAAATACACACAAAAAAAGTCTTTGTAAGAGGATAAGGTGCGTCAGCTACTGAAAACACTCATGGAAACAGAAGTTTCAAAAACAAGTGCTCAGATCTGGAAAGTGGTACAATAGACCTCTTCTGCTAAATTTGCGCAGAAGAAACAACTTAGAGATGTTGAACTCTGATTCTTGAAGGTGTTGACATAGTGTAAACTCTTAAACAAGTAATTTTCAGTGGATCTTAATTCTCCTAACAGCTGTTTCCTTTTCAGATTACATAAATCATACCACTTGTACAAGTTTAACACAGATGTCTTTCTCAGCTATTCATTACCTTGCCTGCTGCAACTTTTGCCAACAATGAAGCAAGGGAATGGCCCTTGTTAGTCTGAGGTTTTAGAGATGGTATTCTGACAACAGGTCTAATGCCACCATTGCAGATTTCTTCTGTTCCTCTGTCATTCACTGCTTTAACATGAATTAAAAATGAGCGGTACTTGCCACCAGCCATGCCTAAAAGTAGAAAGAAAAAGGAGGGGGGGTGGGATTTGCACAGTTCACTAGGGCAAGTTGTAAACAGATTTCAACTTCTCAGACATAGTGTACAAGCAGAGCTCAACTACATTAATTACAGTACTTTAGCATCAGTTTGAAAAGGTAACTCACTATTGCATTATACAGCAAAATTTGTCAATGTGAAAATAAATACAATGCAAAGCCTGACCACAGAGGTACGAGATGCACTTCACTCATGCATACTTCATGTGAACAGCATAATAAAGTGGTTTACCTTTAACAAGTTTTGGACTTGTTAATGTCAACATTCCAGCATGTCCAGATAGATCAAGTCCAGTAGTCAGCCATACTGGCCCGCAAAGTATATCTTCCTTGTGCTCCTCCAGAAATGGACACAGTCTAAGACCTTAAAAACCGTAAGTAATATGGACCTGAATTACTCAGAATTAAGTCACAAATCTGATCATTTGCATGGGTTAAAAATACACCATGTCAAACTCTGATCACTAAATACACATAAATTCTACATTGAAAAACTAACAATTACTCAAGGTTCACTTTAAGTCATTTTCCAGTGAAATCTATACAGGTAAATGACAGTTTTCAAAGCATTTTCAGTTATATTATATGAATAATATGCATGTTGACTGGCTTATAAGAGCCACAAAACATACAATAATGAACCGATATATTTTGATCCACAACATTTACTGGGTCTTTTCTGAAGCAGGATTGACCTGTGTGTTTCTTTTTTTGTTGTTGTTTTTTTTTTTTTTTTTTAAATCATCTAGTTTGTTTCTCCTGTGGTACATCAAAATGATCATTCACTCAGCTACTGCTAAAATGATCATTCACTCAGCTACTGCTTCTTTCTCTGCATGAAATAGCTTCTTCCAGCACTACTTTTATCACTCCTTTGATCCCTCCCCTCATCTTTTACAACACTTTTCTTGGAGACATAGAATGGCTTGGGTTGGAAGGGACTTTTAATGTCTTGCTCTGGATAAGCCTGATCACATGCAAGAAAAGGTGTAAACTAAGACTGTTCAAAGGACCAAGAAAAAGAATCATAGTTCTGGAACTGAGTCACTTCAGATATCAATTTTTAGTCTGTAACTCTCCTCACTCAGATTCAATCCAATTGCCTTTCAGAGCGTCTCTAACAGATTTTGTGGAAGAGTACCAGTTAACAAAAAAAACGTTATAATAACAGGCACAGCAAGTCTAATGCGGCTAAAAGTGAACATAACTAGTTATGAATTCTTTACTAGCTGTTTATTATTTTTCTTGGTTCACAGTAGCAATCTCTACAAAAGACAGGTATGCAAAGAAAAATTCTATTAAAACTAGCTACGGAAACCACGTAAAATACTGCTGGAACAGGGTAAGGGTTTAAGTTACAAAGGTGCCATATCAATCTCCTTTATTTATAAATTCAAATAAATACTAATCTGCTTTCAGGCACCAAAACTCTCCAGTAGGGTTTAGTTGGGTTTTTTTTGGTGTGTTTCTGTTAAACTTTCAACTCAGACAGTAAACAAATCACTGAAAGAAGCAACATTGAAAAGGGCTGAGAAATTAGTCTATTTTAAATGGCTGAGAAAATTTTGCACAGGAATTCCAGTGCATCATTAAAAAAAGAAAAAAAGCACGCTCACATTTTGAACAAAGTATAACAAGATAAAAGAAACTTACATTGAGATTCCTCTACATCCATATACTGCATTTCTTCATTGAATTCAACCAATCCTGGTTTTCCATTTCTCTCCGCTTCAATATTATGAGCTGGAGATAAAGGAAATGCAATCTGTCTATCTACTGCTGCTTCTGGAAATAAAAATATTAGCAAGATTTCATAAACATTGCTTAAGTCTCAGAGAAAACAGAATCAGTAGTTTTCATAGCAAGTTTATCAGCTTTCTGCCCAAAACACTATTTCTAATCTAAGAACCACAAATATACAACGGCATGTTTTTCATATTACGATTGCAATTGAAGTTGCAGCAAATAGTTAAAAAAATATTTGTGTGAATGATCTGTACACAGATTGCTTTGCTTTAGCAGTGACCAAATTATTTTCTCCAATCAACTGCAGATTACTCCTAAGTAATTAGATTCCAGTATTGAAAGTTTGATAATTTAAACGGAAAATAACTGCATTTTGCTGAACATCAGACATTATTTTGATAATACTTAAGTACAGCTCTTTTTTTAATTAAATGGTTCTCATGAATCATAGATGAAGAAGATATGCAAGCAAATGCACAAGCAGCATATACGGTGAATTAACTGCCAGAGCTAAAACATTAGTTCCAAACCAGAAGAATTATGCCTCTGGCCTTCCTGTTACTACACACTATGTATTTAATTGGTTCCAGGGTTCCTGTCATACAAAAATGACCGAATAAACTCTCCCCTGCCCATCTCTTTTGGGTCTCATTATCATAAAATTTCAGTTCCTTTCTTCCTCTATGGAAGGAGAGAAGGGAAGAGTTGGTGGGGAGTTAACTGAATTTCAATCTGAAGATTTTATACATTTTCAAGAGCCACCAAGCAATCCTGAATATTACTTCTCACTGGGATTGGAACATTTTGATTAATACTCAAGCACAGATATTAATTATCTTCCTTTCTAATGAAATCATTAGTGCCCTATTACTGCATTAAATAGCGCACAGAAAAAAAGCAAATGTCATTCAAGTCCTTTTCCAAAACCCAAGAAATTGAAAAACAATAGGAAACAACTGCAATGTAGTAACACTTGAGAGGCTGTTGGTTAGTTGAGGCTCCCCAGTCCTACCAAACTGAAAAGACAAGACAACCTTGCCAAGGTTGCCTTGCAGGTGCTCTCACTTCCCCTAGACCTTTCCAGACGGCTTGTGTATACCCTGGCCCTTCACTCCATGCTTTCTCCACCCTATCCATAACAGAAAAAAGTAAATTCCACTACATTGCATGTAAGGAAGTGAAATGTCACTTTCTGGAAGAGCTCTGTCCTGTCTTATGATTGGTATGCTGTACTGTAAAGCACCCACAGAAAGTTCTGGCAATCTATTTCACGGTCAAATCAAAAGTCTTCAAAGAATTACCAACTCACGGAACTATTTGCTCAGAAATACTCAAAACTGAAACATTAAGGAAAAATGCTTAGCTTTTCTTCTACTGTTTTGTTTCACAGGTGAAGATTTTCAGATAAATTCCGACATCCAGATCTGCAAATGGACTGAATTCTAAAATTCATTCTGAAAACAAAGCAGGTTCTGTTCAGAAGAGCAACATGGACCATCTGTCCTATTGCTTGGTTTGATAGAAAAAAAAATCTGCTACATGTTACAATTAAGGTTTTACTTCAAGCATTAAACAAAGGAAGAACCTGCAAGAACACCTGTTGATTGCTGTCTTGTAGTCACAGCTAGCACTTCTGTTAAAACACTTAAATCATCTTGTATCTTAAAAGAATACACTTTTCTCCAAAAACATTACTATGCTAGAATATTTTATTCTTGGATAACTAGCAGTTTACAGGATTTCTTTAAGGAACACTTCCAGCACACGTTTTTTATTGTTAAACACTGGAGGATGCTACAGAGTGAGAAGTTGTATGAAAGCACGTCAATGATCTTTGGTACGCCTGTATTCCTTTTCAAAATTTACAGCTCTGTTATCCTTGTTTAACTGGGGTGCTCTTACTTAGCATTTAAAAAAATAGAGGAAAAAAAAACAAACCAAGAGCTTTTCTAATCATGCTTGCTGTTCTCCCCAGTACCTTTCCTATCCTGCAGCTAATTTAATAATATCCAGCAGGAAGATTTCTCTGAAATATTGAGATCCTAGAAGATTTTCAAAAAGAGGGGGCCAGATAAAAATAACCAATTACTGCCTCAATAAAAGGAAGTACTGCATGTAATACCTTCCATCCCTAGCAGACAGGGCAGCAGGACATGCAATGAACACTCTCACCACAGGAAAATCCCAATGGAGGCACAAACTATTCCACATCAACAAAGTGACTTTTCAATTTATGTTACCCCCTCACAGGTTCCCTGAGAGCTAGTAAGATGCAGAGTACAGCTAGGAGTCTTCCCAAGGCAAGAGCATTGATAACTTTGGTCTGGCCTGTCAAAGCTGCAAGGAACAAAAGGTGAAATCATACTGCAGCTTTCACACAGCTTAGTTAATGAGCCAGATGATGAGAGAATTCCCAAGGAAGCCAGGTTTCATCTACTGTCATCTAAAAAAGCCTTGCTATTTTCTTACACATCCAAGAGGCACTGGCAAATAATTTTCTTCTGTGACTTGGAATAATTTATTGATTTTTAAAATGTATCAAGAACTTAAAAGAGCACCACTTGTTTCATCTGTCGATCTCTAGGATGATTTACAATTAACAACATTTTTTTTTTTCATGACTGTAGGATTCAAGCAGCACAGAATAATTCAGTTCCACTTTATTGAGCTATGCACTTTTATTTGTATGAAATTCAGGATTTTAAAACTATTCACCCAGTTTGTTTCCCCAATTTACATTGAAACACGTTAAGTGAAAACAGACCATGATGCTGAGAAATAGAAGAAAATGGAAATACGCAAACCCAAAACATTTACATAATTTCAACCAATCCTTCTAATATACATGAGAAAATAATGACTTTGAGAAAAGAAATAATATTCTGAAAGATATCTCAAGTTCTTTCTTACCATTGACTTTCCCTAAGCCTGGAGCTTTATTTTTCAGTAAAGTCACTTGAATCTGGGGAATGTTTGTGATGTTTGAATTCAAAACAAATTTGAAGTCCACATGTCCAACCATACAGGCTTTTGGTAGAACCAGTTCAAAGACATGCTCATCCCAGCTGTTGCTGTCAGGAAAAAAGACAACAATGACCCAGTGTTACAAGAAAATTTGGATCAAGCAGGGAGCATTACTCAGTGCTTTCTCCCATCTATGCATACTTTCTTTAACAAGAAGAAAAAATTATTTTGAGTCAGTTGACGTCCAGGTGAATTTCTGAAGTAAAAGTCTTCCAAGCTGCAGTTAGTCACATTCATTTTGTGAAGAACACATTAAAAGTCAATTGATAAGAGAGGGCAAATCAACGTCCAGATAAAAGCAGCAGTGAAAAGATTCCCTATTACCTTCATCACAGCACTGTTCCCATATTATTATAGATACCAGTCACTCAATCCTAGAAAAAAGGAACGAGGGAAAAAAAATAATTCACTAAAAAAGGATCTACTATGAAAGCAAGATAGTAACTACCTTGCAATCTCTTAAGTTGGCCTTCTCCATTGGTAGGCATTAAATAGCATCACTTTCCAGTGGTGCAAGAGCCACATCCAGGCGTCTCAAAACTCTAGTTTCAAATTATTTTTTTAAATACATTTGGTAATTTATACAGGATAAGAACTGCTTCTTACTAGGTGCACACCCAGAAGCCTACACTATGCAAAACAGGTGCAGTTTTCTTTTAATGAGTCATAATTTTCCTTTTGAAGCAACTTTGGTTTACACTGAAAGCGTAAACTTGAGATAAGTACCCCTCAATGATCAGCTCCATAGGTTGACACACTAAGGTTTGCAAGAAAATAGATCAAACCGAAGAACAATTCAAATAAAACTAATCATGCATCAATTGTCACATTTGTATATATTTTTAGAATAACTGCACTTCCTGATCTTCGCAATTTATTAGTAAACAATTTTTTTAAATGTAGTAACTTTGACAGTTTATGATTACTTTACTGTATAACTGAGAACACTAAGAAACTGAGTATTCTGTTAGAAATATTGGCTAAGTATTTTTCTAACACCTAAATTACAAAAAGGTATTTTAGATCAAATAATGTGTTACACCGAGTATTGTGCAGAAAACCACTCCAAAATAGATTCAGGACTGGTACAAATATATTTAATTCCTTGCATTTTTTTACAGTAATATTCATGAAGGCCATATCTCACTCAGGCAAGTATAAATACACTTATAACAGATTCCAGGTATACATAATGAAATGGCACATCAGCTCTCCATAACCGGCAACACAGAAAAGCAGTGATTTTGGGAGGAAAGATGGACAGAAGCAAAAGATGGACAGAAGACAGTCTGTGGTTACGATTTAAGAAGCAACAGTGAAGAATTTTTAGCTAACTGTACAAATAACTCGGGTAAATAAAATATAATGCAAATTTATGCTACAACTCCAGAGAAAAAAGCTCTGTTGGCAAATGTAACACTAAAAACTTAGAATCACTCATGCCTTTCCTCTGGCTTGGAGAATACACAGCCCAGTGCAAAACAGGGAGAGGTGTAGGGGTGGTTTTTATGTCTGAGCGTTCCTATGGGTGTCAAGCAAAGCATGGACTGAATGAGACATTCAAAGGAACAAGCTTCTGAAAGACTAAGTAATATCCTGCTCATTCAGTTTAAGATCTGGTACAAAACCAGAAACGAGTACCAGGGCGGTTTGTCCGCCATAGTCTTTTGTAGTCCATCTGTTGCATACGATGTATATTGCCGTATCGAATTACAACTGTGATTTGTCTACTCCAGAAATCTATTTTTGACAAAATTCAGCAGCAGATGCCTCAAACGAAGTTTTAAGTATCTCTCAATAGTCATGTATGGAATAATGATCCTCCATTAAGGTGTCTCATTAATGCCACAGTGAAGAGACCTTCTTATACCTGTGGCAATGAACTTCACAATCGAATTTTATGACTGAAAAACTCCACTTTAAACAGTTTTCTTAATTTCTCATAGCTCAATACTTCCTTATGATTTTCCTTAATATTTTAGCATATCCAACCTAAATATCACTTTTCTCTGATCATCTAATGCAAGTTCTTCTAGCTGCTTTTCTCACATTTGAAACCCTTCTAAATCTATAGCATCTTTTTAAAGAAGAATTCAGAATCAAGACTATGTCCTAAATGCAAATATATACTCACTGTCACTACAAAATATTTTCCAACACACTACTTTGTTCCTTTTCTAGAACATCTCATCAACAAGTGGAAGTTTGATCTTCTACTACAACTGAATTTTCAACTGCAGAACCATTTCAAAGTATCATAGAATGGTTTGAGTTGGAAGGGACCTCAAAGACCATCTAGTTCCAACCCCCCTGCCATGGGCAGGGACACCTTCCACTACACCAGGTTGCTCAAAACCTCGTCCAACCTGGCCTTGAACACTTCCAGGGATGGGACAGCCACAGCTTCTCTGGGTAACCTGTGCCACTGCCTCACTGCCCTCAGAGGGAAGAATTTCTTCCTTAGATCTAATCGAAATCTGCCCTCTTTCAGTTTAAAGCCATTGCCCCTTGTCCTATCACTACACACCCTTGTAAAATGTCCCTCTCCAGCTTTTCTGCAGGCCCCCTTTAGGTACTGGAAGGCTGCTAGAAGGTCTCCCCGGAGCCTTCTCTTCTCCAGACTGAACAACCCCAACTCTCTTAGCCTGCCTTTCCAGCTTCTTCACTGGAAAGTACATCAGTACCTAGCTCTTCCTTATTTCATATATTTTCAAATATGTCTGCATAACATGAATACATAGAATATTTCCTATATAAATTTGAGAAAAAGTCATGAAACTCAGATGTCACTGTTTTATCAAAGCACATTAGGAATTCACGTACTGCTTTTGAAATTATTAACCCAATTTAACATCTTAGTTAAATTATCACTGAAGGGAAAATACGGATATTTAGATAACTCATAAGGTAAATCAGACTCTGCTTTTTCAGTTTTCTTTGTTACACAGCCTTTTTAAAATAACAAAGTAGGATTGAAAGAATGCAACTGTAATATAATATCATCCTCCAAAATACATTTACAGGATTATTTTCTTCTATTTGAGAAACAAAAGAATTACCATATCAATTTGCATTACTCATCCATCTGACCCTGTAATCCCACATCTTTATAAGAATCAGTACGAGACACTCAAAGAGGAGATAAATGGAACCTTGTATTAAGGACTAACAAAATAATTCAGAAATCAAAAAGTTTCTTCCCAGGTAACTTTTAATTAAGAGCTAAAGTTGCTCTCAAGCTTGATATTGTATTTTCTACCCTATGAACAAAGGGACTGTAATTTAATCATTTTCAACATGAATCATTTAGGAGCTGTCAAAGATTTCCAGTACTAAACTAAAATTTTAATTTTACATCTTTACAAGCCTGTTGTACTTTGCAGTAGGCATAATGCTTTCCCTCTAATGAAACAATACTCATAAGCTGATGTTCTACCTCTCACCTTCCAATTAACAGCTATTACCTTCACTGCTTGCTTCCTTTTATCTTTGTACTGGTAGCTTTTTACTTTTCGACTGTTGCCAAACACACTGGATAATTTATAGTTTTAACTGGAAGTAATTTTCCAAGGAACCATCTCCTTTCCACTTGTTACACACAGAATATTTTACTTACACAAAGCAAAGCCACGAGATAAATAGAGATTTTAAAGCCTATAATGCACTGCAAGTTTTTAACCGTAGCTTATGAACATTTAATTAAAGCAAGTTCAGCTCATGTTAGGTGTCAATCCTGGAAACACCTGCAACTATTACCTTCCAGACCTGTTTTCCTGCATGGAATACTTCATTATCACATGCAAGCTTACCCTTATTAATATGATAAGGTTTTTTTTCCCCCCACATATGATCTCTAGCGTCCCTAGCAACCTTTGGCTATTTAATTGTTTCCACTGTACGTGCATTTAAATTCTACATTACTATCCATATCTTACACATCAGTGGGACAGATGTGTGACAGTCAGACCCAAAAGATCTTGTAGTACCTTATTATGCACATCCCTTAATAAAACACACAACACAACTTACATCTGTATTTTGTTTCTCCACACATTTTTCAGAAAAACTATGCAAAGCTACTTCAGGTAAGTTTTAAACAACATTACAAGGAGACTACAACACTGCTGTTCTAGTCTTTAGGATCCCAGAGGAATTCCAAGTTCTTGTGGAAGTGTGAAAAACTAATAAGTACTACACCTACCGTGTCAGTGCAGTTAATTTCAATGAAAACATTGCCTAAATTTTAGCACAGCTAGGGCTCTATACTGGTTCAGGTAAGTATTTTGCATATGAAGATTTAACTTGACATCAACAGACATAAATCCAGACTCTATTTTCACATTTTAAAATAAATTACAATACAATTTCACTTAGGGCAACTAATTAGTCATACTGGTACCTGCAGCTTGCATTTTCCAATTAAAAAAATGTACTAAGAATGTGTGTATGCATAAGAAGAGTGAATCAGACTTTTATAGAAACAATCAAGAATATCAGTAATTCTGGCGAATGTGCTTGTCTAATTATATAATGAAACGGCAACATTTGGCAAACAAAAATACACTAATTCAAAATCTGACTTTTCAATTTGTTTCAAGGTCTGCTGAAACAACTCAGGCAATCTCACAAAGACCTAAAATGCAAACTACCGAATAGAGACTATTATCTTTGAAAGTACATGTTCTTAAACTTGCACACTACTTAAAAACAATCAAACTGCATGAAATTTGTGATCATACCAGCTATAAGACTAGTTAAGCAGCACACACATGATTCCTTACCCTACCTACCTGTCTGTCTGTAGCTTCCAAGTTCGAGTATGCTGAGCTGCATCCCCATGGTGCTGCTGGTGCAAATGCTGAGGATGCCGCCTTTGCTGCTGCTCTTGCTGGACTTCTACCCAACAGGGAGGGACAGTGGCTGAAAACCGTGGTGTCAAGGTCTCAAAACGGGTCAGTTCCACCAGGGATGTCAGTGTTTCAAGGGAAAATGGCTGGTCCACCAAAAGATCAACTCCTGAGTAATTACAGAACATACATTAATTGCTACATAGATATTTTTTCCAGAACATCCTATAAACACTTCGAAATATATCCAAACGGCTATAGGTAAAATTAATTATGTTATATGAAGTTGTTTTTTTTTTTTTTAAAAAAAAAGCAACCAAAAAATCCCAAACAAAAATACAACACAACCAAAAAAAACCCTCATAAACACAAGCAACCAAACAACCCCAGTCTTGAAGTCAGTATCCTTTGAAGGCAGTTCATTTGGAATAAATTTTCCAAGTATTGAGAGCTCTGAGCATGCTGTCTCGGATTCAACCAGAAGCATCAGGAAAAAGTAATTAGCCAGCGATACTTTGATGATGTAACGCTGATTAAAACATTTTTTAATACCTCTGTTGACTTGGATTAAAAAAAAATAAAATGAAAGTTTTGTATTTCATTAAAATAAACACATGGCATTACAATGTAATTGTAACATTATCACTGTTTAAAACATTATTTTGGCACCCACTTATCAATACAGACTTGTTTTATGGTGGATTACTAGATGTTTTGGAAGACTCTCAGTTTAGCTTAAAAGAGTGGAAAGTGAAAAACAAACATGCTTTATTTATGTAATGCACTTGAAAGACACTGGGCCTAGACAAGTATTTTGTCTTCTTGTCTTCATATTCAAGTGTTATCCTGAGGAAACAAGGATATTAATTGAAGAAGTACTGAAAATTAAAATATCCGAGGGAGACAAACATCTAAAGAAACATTAGAAAAGAACTCTAAAACTAATCATGCTTCCTCAGACAAAAAAAACCCACAGATTGAAAACTTGAGGGAAAATAAGATAGGCACAATGTCAATTTTCTTACATTTTGAGCGTTTCTTCTTGAAAATGTATTTTGGAGAAAGTCTTTTGCTTGTAAAGAAATTAATGGTTTTCAAAAGGAGAAAGTTTGCTACCTAACTACTACAACCACCACGTTAACGGGGAAAAAAAAGACTAAAATTAAATACACCAACACAAATACCATCCCCCCAGTGAAGTGTGAACCTAGAGACTATACTACAAAGCAACCCAGGTTGAAATCAGAATAACAACAAGATTATATCCTCCAGCTTGAGAGCAGAAAGGCACACACAATTCTTCCCGAAAAGTGGAGAAGCTCGAGATACCCATACTCAGGGGACAAAAAAAAAACATAAACAGAAAAAAATAAAATAAATAATAAATAATAAAAATAAAATCACTCTCATCGGAACAACTACAATTTCTACTTTTCAATCTAGGAGACTGGAGAATGCTGAAGAGATTAGTTAGAAATGCTTTAGTAATTTAATTTCAATAATAGAACAAACACCTTATTTTTTTTTACTGCCATATGTGAACGTCATCAGTTAGATGGCCCTGCAAGGAGAAGTGAGATCATATCTCAAAATGTGCAACACTTCTATCTTTGAGTAGACTGGATTTTTTCTGCTTCACTCTCCTTCACCCTCCAATAGAAACAATTACAAATTCAGAGTAGTCAGAGCAACTACATGTTGCAAGATACAACTATATCTACATGAGCAACTACATTCTTGCTCTAGCAAGAACCCCTAAAATTGAAAAATGAAGGACTTAACTATCCAGAGCTGTCAAGTCTACTTGGCTTCTTTTGCAAAATTACATGATTTTTGTTGTATTGTAATAGTGAGTTACGACAAGCTGAAGTTCTAACGGAAAACAGCGTGGAGTTCTAATGGAGTGATGTTCCTCAGGGGTCTGCACTGGGACCGGTGCTTCACATCTTTGTCAGGGACATGGACAGTGGGATCAAGTGCACCCTGAGCAAGTTTGCTGACAACACCAAGCTGTGTGGTGTGGTCGACATGCTGGAGGGAAGGGATGTGTCGTGAGTTAGGCCGCTCCGGCAACCAAACCCCCTCCCCCAAGTCGTTCACTCACCCTCCCCCAGCCCCAGGGATGAGGGAGAGAATTAAAGGATAAACGGGAAACCCATGGGTTGAGATAAGAACAATTTAATACAGATGATTTAATACACAGTGTAGATGCTCACCACCCCCTCTTATGCAAAGCCCGTCTCATCCCGAAGCTGCAATCCCAGAGGAACGTAAAGTCCCGAAATAGAGAGGGGCAGAGAGACAGAACTCCGAGAGTGGGAGTACTGAGAGAGAGAGAGAAAGAAAAAAAGAAAAGGCAATAGAGCGAAAGCACAGAAGTGCAAAAGAGCAAAAGCGCCAAAGTGCAGAAAAAGCCCTTCCTTCCGGTTGTCCTTCACTTTTATACTAGGCATGACGCTGCATGATATGGAATACTAATTGGCCAGTTTGGCCCTCAATCTTAAGTTCCACCACAAATTACAAAGGGAATCGTGGCCCCCTTTTCCCAGCTATGCTCCCCCCTTATCCCGCTGTGCTTCTGCACTCCGGCACACTGAAAAGTCCTTGGGAAAAGTCCTTGGAGTTTCATGTCCAACCACAAACATCAGCTTGCTATCACCATTCTTCTCAGAGCGAGTCTCTGAGTAAAACCAAAACACGGAGCTCTTTTAGCTGTTAAAAGAACAGCTGACTCTGTCCCAGCTAAAACCAGGACAGGATGATATCCAGAGGGACCTTGACAGGCTGGAGAGGTGGGCCTGTGAGAACCTCATGAAGTCCAACGAGGCCAAGTGCAAGGTCCTGCACATGGGTCGGGGCAATCCCAAGCACAAGTACAGGCTGGGTATAGAATGGATTGAGAGCAGCCCTGAGGAGATGGACTTGGGAGTGCTGCTTGATATGAAACTCAATATGAGCCAGCAATGCGTGCCTGCAGCCCAGAAAGCCAACTGTATCCTGGGCTGTATCCAAAGAAGCATGGCCAGCAGGTCAAGGGAGGTGATTCTACCCCCCTACTCTGCTCTCATGAAACCCCACCTGGAGTACTGCCTTCAGCTCTGGGGCCCCCAACGTCAGAAAGACATGGAGCTGCTGGAGTGAGTCCAGAGGAGAGCCACAAAGATGATCCGAGGGCTGGAGCACCTCTCCTATGAAGACAGGCTGAGAGAACCAAAGTTGTTCAGCCTGGAGAAGAGAAGGCTCCGGGGGGACCTTCTAGCAGCCTTCTAGCACCTAAAGAAGACCTACCATAAAGATGGAGAGGGACTTTTTACAAGGGCATGTAGTGAAAGGACAAGGGGCAATGGCTTTAAACAAAGAGGGGAGACTTCAACTAGATCTAAAGGCAAAAATTCTTCCCTCTGAGGGTGGCGAGGCAATGGAATGGGTTACCCAGAGAAGCTGTGGCTGCCCAATTCCTGCAAGTGTTCAAGGCCAGGTTGGATGGGGCTTTGAGCAACCTGGTGTAAGGGAAGTTATCCCTGATGGCAAGGGGGTTTGGAACTAGATGATCTTCAAGGTCCCTTCCAACTCAAACCATTCTATGGTTCTATAAAACTTGAAAAAAGTTTTAAACTGGTCAGGAAAATTAATATTCTTTTTCAATTAGCTTCTAAAATAAGCACTATTTTAGAACACTTCACCACAAAAACCCTTCTGCTCCTTAAAAGGAAATAATTTTTACCCAATCCAAGATTTACAACTCAGTAAAGTTAACAAATTTCCTTCTAAAACAGTTCAATTTAAAATATATCCAAGTTGTAAATGCAGGCTAAAAAATAAAATTTAAGAAATGTATTCCAGAATGCCAACAGAGAAAAACACACACACGGACAAAACCCACAATACATGGACAAAACTTTGCACATGTTGCTGTGATTTCTATCCTTACTACAGCAACTTCTAGCTACAGTTTCAGCGAACACCAAAGTGACTTCATGAAAACACCCTGCTGCTGCCTGCCACCAGCTGTGAACAAGATATATAGATCAAGACTTTATGCTTAGTCAGATCCATCTGGAGTTCATCTCCCCAGACAGAAAGCTTTCTGTTGAGCTACGTCTCTGAAAAATATACCAAGACAAAAGTGGAAGAAAACATTTTTTCTGCTGTTTAGTATTTTGATTAAAAGAGAAGCAAAACCGACATTATAAACATTGGGGTCAATGTCTGACCATGATCCATACACATGCTGACAGTTTTATTACTTAGAAGATGTCTGCACAGTCCTAGCAATCATTTGCACATTATATGTTAAGAATCCAGTATTATTGTCTTTAGTATCCTTAATCTGGATAGCTCCGGCTAAGAGCTCTGCAACCACCATTTGGTTTCAACTCTTCCCCCCAGCTCGCTCATTTCAGCACTGGCTTCCTGTGACTGTTAAGTTTCTCTCACAGCTTTAGGTGGGTCGGTTTGATGCCCCAGCTAACCAGTACTCAATTCATCTGATCGTTATTGTGTATCCAACAACTCTTTGGAAACCATTACAAACCAAGATCAAGCAATACTACACCCTCCGACTACTTAAAGGAGGACCCGCAGCTCATGGACCATCTAAAGATACAGCTACATAATCAATAAGCCACATTCTAGACTATACTGAAGGCTGCATGGGGAGAATAAGGAAAAAAACAACAAAAAAAATTGCCTATTATACTACTGGTATTGTAACAATCATCAATTTGATTCATCAAGTTAGGCAGAGTTATCATTTGATTGGAAGCCACTTAAATCTGCTGATAAGCTACTGTACAAGGAATGCATGTATTGAAGCACATTTATGTCCTGGATATTCATATTCTCTTTATTGCTTTATTTGCCATTAGCAATAAAAGAAAGGTGCAGAAGAAAGCCACAGATTTCTTTCCCTCACATATCTACAATAGTTTATTACCTAGTGAGTTTCAAACTTCAGGAATATCTCCTTCGGTGAAAAAAAGGAGGAGCAGCAGAAATTCAGTCTTCAAAGCAGAGAAGATGACAGCAACTGCTGTACTGCTGCTTACAGATAATCTTATGACAAAAAAGCATCTTTTCCTTCCCTCTTTTGTTTGCCTCTTGTGCAGTAAAATCAGGGGTCATACGAATACAGTAATTGTTTACTTCCATTGTATCATTGCTTTATCTTCATGCTTTATTACTCATATTTTATATTCTAAGACATCTATTCCCAGTATATCCATATTTCTGTGCCAATGGACATGACCAAAACCTCCAAACTCTAACCCAACTAAAATAATTATGCTTCGTGTCTCTATCTGCAACAATTGCTAAAACAAAATGAAAAACATAATAGTTTTACTGCTCTCATAAACAATTCCCTTTAAAACTCAAACAAGACTATATATATATATATATATATATATATATACATACACACACACAGAGGGTTTAAAAACCTCAGAATTACTCAAATATTCCTCAGGCTTAACTATCAAAATCAGATTTGTTCTTAAGTTTTAGTAGCAAGTTACCTACAACTAAAGCATCTTTGTTGAGGGCTGAGAAAAGATCAAGAGGCCCAAGCTCCCATAACCTGCATACTCACTGTTCTCCCTTACAAGAGGGAGGACCCCTCACATTTTTCTCCTTCTACTTGACTACAAAAGGAACAACCCTCTCACCTAACTCCTTATTTTACCCAAGTGGGCCAGGATACTGCAAAAGGCAGCAGACTCGTGGCAGGACTGGTATGAGGACTGCAGTAAAGACAAGACCCAAATATGATGTTTAGGGTAAAAATAGAATTTGGACACTTAGAAGCAATTATTTCATGCTGTCCAAGGGCAGACAACCTTTCCAGGGAGGAAACTAGTAGGTGAGTGAGAGTAGAATCTGAGCATAGCTCAACCCAGACAAAACGTTAAGAACAAAAATTCAAGAACTCACATCATAAGTTTAACTTATCAACAGCAACTGCACTGCCTGAATTATAGAAAGCATCAATTTCACTCTGTGCAACAATACCTGTTGAATATATATTTTGTACAGTTTTATCAAGTAGAGTGTACAGCTTCTGCATGAAACTTTAAGGCAATTTTACATAATGAATATATGATTTTAATTCCAAATAAAGAACTCAAGTCTATTTAAAGTATGAGGGAAGCTCAGTACTTGCAAAATTACCTGGTTTTCCCTGTCTGCCACACTTGAAATAACATGTAGAGATTGGATAAACAATCAGTTATACAAAAGTGTTGGTTTTTTTTAAATGAGGAACTGCTGAAGTGTTATGCTTGTACATAACCAGGGGTAGCCATACAGCAACTACAGAAATTCAACTCTGGACAGCAAAAAAGTAGAAAGCAGCATGCTATTAAATAGCTCAAAGTCAGCTTAATATGCAACTTCCAAAAATTACAAAAGCATTTTTACCTGCCATACGTTTTAACATCTGCAACTTACCTGTAATGCCTGGACTAGAAGGGTTAGATAAGGGCTTGGTGCCTTCTGATGACTGTTCTACACTCTTGGAAAGGGATCCATCTACAAGTATATCAGCTTCATCTATGTCATCACAGGTCCCTCCAATCTGAAGGAAATGAAGTTCTCCACCTAAAATCATTACAGACAACGAAAGAAGAAAGTTTAGGCAGGCACACAGCTAAACTCAACTCACCAGACAGGCTTGCAGGTGAAGTGCTACATAATTATGACAGTAATTAAGCAGGAAAGTAAACCAGTAAGCTTATACAGGAATATTCATTTTGCTTTTCTACTACAATTTTTTTCAGGGTAAATGCAAAACAGAACTACAAAAATACTGACCCCACTTACAAATAGCAGCAAAGGAAAAAAAATACATTAGGGGGAAGGAGGTTAAAAGGTAATTAACTAAGGAAACCTCAACAGAAACTCAAAATCATAACCATTATGACACTTTCCATAATCCAAATCATGCTTTTAAACACCAAATATTCCATCATGTCAACTGAGGGCCTACACTACCTCATTTGTACAGGTTGCATAAATTTCATTTTAAAGTTCAATATTTAAGAACTGAAAAAAAAAAAAAAAATAATCACTTCCCCACTGAACTCTCCTAACTAAAAGGCTGTTCATATTATTTCATCAAAGCTGGAATTGCAACACTGATAATCTCAACAGTTAAAAGAGCAAGTCCAAAATTTTCAATGGACACAATGTTTTGATGGAAGTTTGAAATCATTCAAGGAAGTTGCCCATTATTCACCACTACAGACACACAGAGATGAATTCTGTCATTTACAGAGAAGTCACTGAGAAGGAATGCTCAATTTTACATAAGGTTGGGGGAAGAAGAAGGGCTGTTAACAGTTTCAGAGGTTACAAAAATCCTAATCAGTAGGATTTAAATACAGAGGAAAGTCCTAGGGTAGGTCTTCCACAGTTTTTCTGAAAATTGATTACAGACTGTCCTTCGGCATCCGACTAATGTTATGACAAATCCTGTTATGCAAATTAGTCAGGTAATCTGAAACAAACTAACTTGAGATAATATACATAATAAAACCCCAACATAAAAGCTTATCAGCTGGTACACGTTCTGCACTGTGAAGAGTGAGGGGAGCGAAACAGAGAGCGATAGCGAGAGACAGCACGGCAGGGAGGAAGTGCAGGAGAGGCACAAGAGGCATGGAGAGAGCTGCTTCAGGATTTTTTTTTCCTGGATCTCAATAAGAAAGGCCCAACAACAAATGGCTTAATAAAATAGCTGTTTTAACAAGACAGAATAAAAAGAGGAAAATAATAGTTCAAATGACCAGAAAGGAAGAACCTCTTCACAGACATGATCTGCACAGTGTGCTGTGGGAAAATCCTGCCAGGGTCTGGGTTATGTTGCATGAAAGTAGGGCTCTCAGCATCTGAAGGGACAGGAGATTTTCTCACTATTTATACTTCTCTTTTTATTCTATCTTACTAAAACAGCTATTTCGTTTACCCTTTAAGCCATTTGTTGGTGAGGTCTTTCTCATTGCGATCCAGTAAGAAGCCCGTACCACCGATCTCTCAGTCCCAACCCACCCATCTCTGGTGCAGAACAGCACATCCTGCATAGATCCAAGAGCAGATAGGGAAAAAAGTAGTTCTAGAAAATAACACTTATATAATGAGCTTCCTTGAAATGGAACAGTTCACAAACGAGCAGTTTTCCTCAAACAAAGAGAATTAGGGACACATTAGAAAACACAGACCTTAACAGCTTCATTTGGCAATAAGCCAAACCTGAGTTTGTTTCCCATTCTGTTTACTGCTCAAAGACCAATGATCAGAATGATCTCAATGACCACAATCAGTTAATCTCCTGATCTGGAAATAAAGTACACCCTCATGCAATGGAAGTTCAACATAACTGACTTGCACCATCTGCCAGTGTTATGGCTCACAGCAGGAGAAATGCTGAAGAACTTCAGGAAGTTGTGCATTTTTCTAAGGGAAAGTTATGTCAAAGTCTCACTCTGCAGATGGTTGGGTAGGATTTGGTTTTAAAGAAACAAAACCTTGCTTCTCAAACCAAGTTTGAGCTTCTGTTACTAATTAAAAGAGCAGCACAAAACATCCTTACCATTTTATCCATACTGCAAGAGGAAGAAAAGTCACAATCCCTGCATTCCTGAAAGACTACAGCACTTTTCCAAGAAAAATTCTGTGCTAAACTTGAGATATTTCACTTCCTCATATTTGTTTTGAAAAAGCTTCTGTTAAGAACTTTATCATGAACTTCACTTAGACAGTATTAGTCTATAAAATTACTAGTGCTTATGCATGCTTTCTAAAACTCTGTACATGGCTTTGGTTCTGTATCACAAAAGAGGCAGTGGTTCTCCTAGAACATCTAAAGATGACCTTCTGATGATGCATGCTTAATTATTTGTTTCAGACATACCAGAGTTCCCATAGTCATGTGCCAGGAAAAAAAAAAAAAAAAAAAAAAAAATCTGGTCAAAAGTCACGGCTTTTTTTTTTTTTTTTTTTTTGCATTACTACTAACTCATGGTAAGACTACTGGGTTGAAACAGTAATTCATCTGGTGCTTTCTAATTCTAACCAGGCAGCAAACATCAGAAGTAGTAGTTTATCTGAAGACTTCTCTGCCTGCATCACTTTGACAAAGGTGATAAATGCTTCTTTCTGTTACACTACCAAGAAGGTATGAAAGCTGACACTGACTGACTTAGTGATGACAAAGGAGGGTAATTGGAAACCAGCATCACTGTACTTCCCGAAAATAACAGGTAACACATTCAAAATATTGTTAAATTATTTTTGAACTGTATTTAAAAATCTATAATTTGCTTGGACTCGAGACCCTGCTGGATTACACAAACAGAACATAAGAATTATAAATCTATCCAAATAAATCTCAAGCTTTCTTCTGGCACAACAGTTATTGGTTCCAGGAAAGCAGCATTGACCTGAGTCATGGAACGTGTCAGAGACTAGGCCACTGCAGTCAAAGTCAATATGGTGAAATGTTCAGTATCCTGAACGCATCCTGCACTCTGGCAGGAGTCTGGCAGAGGGACGCAATTGTCGATAGCAAGTCACAACACAAGGACATAGTTGAGTAATACCCAAATAGTTAAAGGAATTCAGAGAAAAAAAAAAAAGCGCCATACCACAGGAAAGTATCTACTAAACAACTTACAGTCCCCCTCATCTCACTACTAGGCTGTAGAGAAAGGATTAGCTCTAAACATACTACTTCAGAACCCTTAAAAAATGTTCTCAAGAAAGCTTCCCCAAAATCTCACTCCAACAGATTTTACACTATTCTTGGAGATTTCAGCTGTAAAATTCCATCCCGGCTTATGAAAAAATAGAACGCAATTAAATAGGGACAAGCAAAAGTTACTATGCCTAGCAAGAAATAATTAAATGCACTATTATGGGATGAAGAAAAATCAGCTAGCCAGCAGTTCTGCAAAAAGAGGCTTTTGTGAGTCAGAAGATAAACCTGATTCAATTTCCTGCTCAAAGTGCAAACATCCCACTATGTATACGCACACATGGTATGTACAGACTGCAGAGCTGCTAAGAATTTCTTCTTCATTCAAAAGACATCTGTAGGATTACTGTGCCTGGCTTAGGGTATCTCATCAAGAAAATGTTCACTGACTTGAACAGGTCTTTCGGGAGGGGAGAGTAAGGATTTTTTTTTTTTTTTTTTTTTCCTATCAAAGCCCCTGGAGATATTTAGTTTAAGAAAATAAATGGTTGGAGGAAGACAGTACCTAAATAAACTCTGTTTTTCCCTCCTTTTTTGAAAGGACAGTAATGGCTCCAATCAGCAAAGATGATATAGGCTAAACACTAGGGAAAAACAAAAATCATCATCAAGATAGCATACAGTAGAAGAAATTTCAGGAATAGGCTGTTAAATCTCCATGCTGAAGATCTTCAAAACCAGGCTGATCAGTACTCTGCTTCTGAATAGGTAAGTGTAATTGATCCTGACTTGAAGATGATCTCTTAGCATCACTTCCAACACTAATTCTCACGTGGAAAAAACTTGATCTCTCCCCAACCCCATAAGACCCCACTGCCTATGAAGGCAGAAAACTGAAAACACTAAACTGATTCCTGAACTTCAAATACACCAGTATGCAAGGCTGACAAAGCCTAATGACATGGAAGAGACGAATAAGATATTCAAACAAAACCGGAAAAAAACCTACAGGGAATAGCTAATACACTATATATAACCGAAGAGCAAGAAACCTTTTATAAGTGAAAGGTACAGGACAGGGGGAATCAATTCCCAAATGTATGAAAGTGCCATTCAGTTCTGCCAGGCTTGCAACAAGAAATATTAGCACAGACAACTCACTTTCAATACCAAACTCCAGTCTAAAAAAACCCACTTCCTCCAACAATGGGCAATGATTAGAAAAACTCCTGTTATAACGTAATACCGCAGGCAAGAATTTAGAACTATGTATATATAAAAAAAAAAAAAAAAAATCACAAAAGAGACACCTAAAGAAAAAAGTGCTGATAAATGAAAGTGTAAAACAATCAGAAGACACAAATGTACATGATGGGTTACACTCAGTGTTCATGGTGGTCTTTACAGCTTCCAAATGAACTGATCCAATGTCATCTAGGAATCGCTATGTGAGAGAAGCTCATCAGGAACTTCAGTCAGATTTGTGTCTTTTTGTCTGTAGGCTCTGAAGCAATACAGGCAGAAAAGAGAACTGCTAGAACCAAAAAGCACTAGAGGAGTTCGTTCTTATGATGAAAATAAGTAGAAAAACTAGCATTTTCAGTAGGGCTGAACAGGGAAATGATTTACTGTAAAACCTTCACTCAACATAGCCATTCAAAAACTAGATTTGTGAACAAATTAGATTGCAAGTTTCAGTTGAGCACAATCCAGGAATACTTCATTCGCCAGAAGAAACTTAAGCACTCAAACAGATCATATAGATTTTAACACCTACTCAATCAGACAGTCTGGCTGGAAAGTACCTGCTTCACCACAACACTCTGAACACTTCCACTTCTTCTAGCGTTTGTCTGAAATGCCACCTCACTCTCCTACTTGATAATATTTCGTCAGAGAGCTTCAG